CAAAACGGACCTCGCCAGCTTCGTCTGCTTGGCTGTGCTCCTTGCTCTCCCTCTGGTGGTCCGTTTTGGCCGCTCAGCAGTCCGAATCCTTCAAAACGGACCTACCCAGCTCTCCCACTGGGTGGGGGTGGGGTGGTGGGGTGGGGTGGGATGATAACGTCCATGTTCCTGTGCGCACACTGGCACGGCAACCTCATCACACGAGAGCTGGCGGTGGGTCTCTGTCCCTTTCTCTCCCTGGTGGTCCGTTTTGGCCGCTCAGCAGCCCAAATCCTCCAAAACGGACCTCGCCAGCTTCGTCTGCTTGGCTGTGCTCCTTGCTCTCCCTCTGGTGGTCCGTTTTGGCCGCTCAGCAGCCCAAATCCTCCAAAACGGACCTCGCCAGCTTGTCTGCTTGGCTGTGCTCCTTGCTCTCCCTCTGGTGGTCCGTTTTGGCCGCTCAGCCCGAATCCTTCAAAACGGACCTCGCCAGCTCTCCCACTGGGTGGGGGCGGTGGGGGTGGGGGGTGGGGGTGGGGTGGGGGGTGGGGTGGGGTGGGATGATAACGTCCATGTTCCTGTGCGCACACTGGCACGGCAACCTCATCACACGAGAGCTGGCGGTGGGTCTCTGTCCCTTTCTCTCCCTGGTGGTCCGTTTTGGCCGCTCAGCAGCCCAAATCCTCCAAAACGGACCTCGCCAGCTTCGTCTGCTTGGCCGTGCTCCTTGCTCTCCCTCTGGTGGTTCCCTTGTGGCGATCAGCAGCCCGAATCCTTCAAAAACGAACCTCGCCAGCTTGCTATGCTGGGCTTGCTCCTTGCTCTCCCTCTGGTGGTCCGTTTTGGGGCCGCCAGCAGCCCAAATCCTCCAAAACGGACCTCGCCAGCTTCGTCTGCTCTGGTGGTCCGTTTTGGCCGCTCAGCAGCCCGAATCCTTCAAAACGGACGTACCCAGCTCTCCCACTGGGTGGGGGTGCGGTGGGGTGGGGGGTGGAGGGGTGGGGTGGGGTGGGATGATAACGTCCATGTTCCTGTGCGCACAGGGGGGTGGGGTGGGGGTGGGGTGGGATGATAACGTCCATGTTCCTGTGCGCACACTGGCACGGCAACCTCATCACACGAGAGCTGGCGGTGGGTCTCTGTCCCTTTCTCTCCCTGGTGGTCCGTTTTCGCCGCTTAGGAGCCCAAATCCTCCAAAACGGACCTCGCCAGCTTCGTCTGCTTGGCTGGGCTGCTTGCTCTCCCTCTGGTGGTCCGTTTTGGCCGCTCAGCAGCCCGAATCCTTCAAAACGGACCTCGCCAGCTTGCTATGCTGGGCTGTGCTCCTTGCTCTCCCTCTGGTGGTCCGTTTTGGCCGCTGAGCAGCCCAAATCCGTCAAAACGGACCTCAGCAGCCCAAATCCTCCAAAACGGTCCTCGCCACCTGTGCTCCTTGCTCTCCCTCTGGAGGTCCGTTTTGGCCGCTCAGCAGCCCAAATCCTTCAAAACGGACCTTCCCAACAACCGGTGGATGTGGCCAGCCGGCTTCGACTTCAGGTTAAGGGCCTTGCCCTCTGCCGACTGAGCTAGACATCCCCGGTATACAGGAAATGATCTGCAAATCTTGGCAGAAAATCGGTATGACTGCTTGGCTGGCTCCTCTGGTGGTCCGTTTTGGCCGCTCAGCAGCTCAAATCTTCCAAAACGGACCTCGCCAGCTTGGTCTGCTTGGCTGTCCCCCCTGCTCTCCCTCTGGTGGTCCGTTTTGGCCGCTCAGCAGCCCGAATCCTTCAAAACGGACCTCGCCAGCTTGCTTGGCTGTGCTCCTTGCTCTCCCTCTCATGGTCCGTTTTGGCCGCTCAGCAGCCCAAATCCGTCAAAACGGTCCTCGCCTGCTTGGTCTGCTTGGCTGGGCTCCTCTGGTGGTCCGTTTTGGCCGCCCAGCAGCCCAAATCTTCCAAAACGGTCCTCGCCAGCTTGGTCTGCTTGGCTGTGCTCCCTGCTCTCCCTCTGGTGGTCCGTTTTGGCCGCTCAGCAGCCCAAATCCTCCAAAACGGACCTCGCCATTTGGAGGATTTGGGCTGCTGAGCGACAAAAACGGACCACCAGCGGGAGCAAGGAGCACCGCCAAGCATAGCAAGCTGGCGAGGTCCGTTTTGGAGGATTTGGGCTGCTGAGCGGCCAAAACGGACCATGAGAGGGAGAGCAAGGAGCACAGCCAAGCCAAGCAGACCAAGCAGGCGAGGACCGTTTTGACGGATTTGGGCTGCTGAGCGGCCAAAACGGACCATGAGAGGGAGAACAAAAAGCACAGCCAAGCATAGCAAGCTGGCGAGGTCCGTTTTGAAGGATTCGGGCTGCTGAGCGGCCAAAACGGACCACCAGAGGGAGAGCAAGGAGCACAGCCAAGCAGACGAAGCTGGCGAGGTCCGTTTTGGAAGATTTGGGCCGCTCAGCGGACAAAACGGAACACCAGAGGGAGAGCAAGCAGCCCAGCCAAGCAGACGAAGCTGGCGAGGTCCGTTTTGGAGGATTTGGGCAGGAGCACAGCCAACCTCACCAAGCTGGCGAGGTCCGTTTTGGAGGATTTGGGCTGCTGAGCGACAAAAACGGACCACCAGCGGGAGCAAGGAGCACAGCCAAGCATAGCAAGCTGGCAAGGTCCGCTTTGACGGATTTGGGCTGCTGAGCGGCCAAAACGGACCATGAGAGGGAGAGCAAGGAGCACAGCCAAGCCAAGCAGACCAAGCAGGCGAGGACCGTTTTGGAGGATTTGGGCTGCTGAGCGGCCAAAACGGACCACCAGAGGGAAGGCAAGGAGCACGGCCCAGCATAGCAAGCTGGCGAGGTCGTTTTGGAGGATTTGGGCTGCTGAGCGGCCAAAACGGACCACCAGAGGGAGAGCAGGGAGCACAGCCAAGCAGACCAAGCTGGCGAGGACCGTTTTGACGGATTTGGGCTGCTGAGCGGCCAAAACGGACCACCAGCGGGAGAGCAAGGAGCACGGCCCAGCATAGCAAGCTGGCGAGGTCCGTTTTGGAGGATTTGGGCTGCTGAGCGGCCAAAACGGACCACCAGAGGGAGAGCAGGGAGCACAGCCAAGCAGACCAAGCTGGCGAGGTCCGTTTTGGAAGATTTGGGCTGCTGAGCGGCCAACATGAGAGGGAGAGCAAGGAGCACAGCCCAGCATAGCAAGCTGGCGAGGTCCGTTTTGAAGGATTCGGGCTGCTGAGCGGCCAAAACGGACCACCAGAGGGAGAGCAAGGAGCACAGCCAAGCAGACGAAGCTGGCGAGGTGCGTTTTGGAGGATTTGGGCCGCTCAGCGGACAAAACGGAGCACCAGGGAGAGAAAGGGACAGAGACCGATGAGGTTGGAAGAGCAGGGGACGTCCGTTTTGAAGGATTTGGGCTGCTCACTGGCCAAAACGGACCACCAGAGGGAGAGCAAGGAGCACAGCCCAGCAAACCAAGCTGGCGACGCTTGTTTTGGAGGATTTGGGCAGGGTGGAAGCTGGGGCGGTCCGTCCGCTTTGGAGGATTTGCGCTGCTCAGCGGACAAAACGGAGTACCAGAGAGAGAAAGGAGCACAGAAGCACAGCCACAGGAGACAGGAGGACACATAACAAAAGATCAGCTGGGCAAGCCCGCTTTGCGAAATTTCGGCGGCTCTCTTACCAAGGCGGGCCACCTGAAAAAGCAAGGAGCACCGCCAAGCAAACCAGGACTGGGAGAGCTGGGGAGGTCCGTTTTGCAAGATTTGGGCCGCTGAGCGGCCAAAACGGACAGCCAAAAAGAGCAAGGAGCACAGCTAAGCAGATGAAGTGCAGACAAGCTAGGAAGGTCCGTTTTGATGGACTTGGGCAGCTGAGCGGGCAAAACGGACCACCGGACGGAGCAAGGAGCACAGAATCAGAGCCACGGGAAAAGGACCAGACCAGCTAGGCAAGCCCGCTTTGGCAAAACCAAAGGAACGCAAAGTCGATGTCACCAAGCCCAACACGCGCCACACAAGGAGACATTGATGGCACAAAGTGCCACGCCTGCCACGCAAAACCCCACCTCGCGTCACAAAGGAGGGACCGCGTCACAGTTGAGGAAACGCGTCCGCGTCACAGATGAGGAAGATTTCCGCGTCACAGACGAGGGGCTTTCCACTTCAAGCCCCCGTTTTTGGAGAGTTCTATACATTCTCATTGTTGCTGGGGCATAATGGGATTTTTCATGGGATCTTCATAAGATATTCATGGGCTTTTCACGGGATACATTCCAAAAAGTGGACCGTTAAAGACGCCAGCCATGAAAACCATCCGACCATCCCCAAGTGGAAAGATCCACCATCTTTTTTTTTCGGTAAATCAACGAACTTTCTATGGGCCATGTTCCATAGCTATGTTAAATTACCAGAGGGTATATATATATATATTATATATATATATCATCTTGATTGTTGGCTTCAATTTCTGGTCTTCGAACCAGGCGAAACTTCAACACAATTTTCGAAGTTACCATCAGGCAAGCAACGAGTCGCATCCCTGAAACCCCACGAATCGCTTGGCCATTTCCATGGGTGAGATAAGATGAAACCCATCTAAAATGCTGGTGGTGCATGGAAACCCATTCCATCCTACTGTAGCTGATAGTTTTGGATAGTTTTTCCAGGTGGAGATCTCCGGCCATCACCAACCCATAATATGGGACAAAATTACAAAAAGCTACCCTTAAATGAAGCGCTGGCTTGATAGTTTATCTATGTTTATCTATTCATAGCCCCAATTAATCTGACCCTGCCACGAGACCTATGCTGAGATCGGCGGAGATCCTGGATCTGTTCATCCCCAATGACCCTCCCGTCATCTCCCAACAACCCAGTCCCCCCTGGGGATGGTAAATCACCATGTTTCATTCCCCCGTTGAAATCGATGTTCCAATTATTCTCCGGTGTGAACCCAAAAAAAAACTCACCAGATCTTCGCGGTACAATCTGACCCCCAACAGGGTGAACCCCCCACCTCCCCATCCCTTGCTTCGTCCCGCTTCGGGCCTTCGAAGTGGCCCCTTCCCCTTCGTACTTCCGATTCTTCTGCCCTGTCTTGGCCAAGCGATGCCCCGCCTTCTCCTCACAGTGAGGAATGGAATGTTGGGAAAAGGTATACCCTAGTACCAAGTATGTCATATGTCATTGATCATTTATCATATATCTTATATCATATATCAGTTATTATTTATCATATATCATATATCAAATATGTATATACATATATACATGTATCCATATATATATAATTATATATATACACATTTATATACATATATACATATATCCATATATACATATATACATTTCTATACATATATCCATATATACATTTATATACATTTATATACATATATCCCTATATATATATATATGCATAATATATATGCATATATACACAAACCACAAGCGATTCCTGGGATGGCCAAGTTCAACTTGGGACCCCTTGGCCACGCCTTTCGGGTCTTGTTCAACTCACCTCGCTCCTGGCCGCAGCATATGTATAGATCCCATCAAACTGGTACCATCCAACAGCACCAAAAAACGATAAAGACGCGATGTATCTCGATTTTGGGAATTCGCGTTTCGATCTTTCGGGGGGTCCCCTAGTTTTACCAACCAACTGTGCTTGTTCTGATGGCTTAGTCTGTCGTTTCACTTTCTGTCCCGTCCTTCTTTGAGAGGATTCGACACTTCTCGCCTCGAGGGGGTGCAAAAATTCTGGTGACGCAAAAATGGTATGTACTCGGGTAAAATGGTGTTCCCAAGACAAAATAGGGAGTTGCCCCGAAAAATAGATGGAGCACCTATTTTCAAGACTTGCCGACGTGATTTTTTCAAAATCCTTGACGTCAAGCGTCAAACCCCTTAAGATTTGTGGACATTTTGTGACAGTCAGACTGTTAGACCCCTAAAAGTTCCTAGACATGATCTCAGCACGCAGATCCAAGCCGCTACAGGAATGAAGTCTTGCAACCAGGATGTATCCAGAAGCCAACAACTTGAGAAACACAACCAAAACGGCTGTGTCTTTTCCTGGCTCAAAAAAGATATCAGATACATCAACCATCGATGTTGGCGATCCGACTGATCTTAATCCAAAATACGATTTCCGAAGCCAGCCTGTTCTTGCTCAGTCTACCCGGGTCTACCCTTGATGCAAACAGCGCCTAGTTCCTCCGCTTCTTTTCTCTTCTGCTCAATTTCTTCAGGGGTCAACTTTTTCCGTTCCTCGCCTGCATCGGGTGCTGCAACCAGATAAACGCCCCAGAACCAGAAGTCACTAAGAGGCCACAATAGAATGGTCAGAGAGATGCAGTTAGTGATGGGTGATGTGGTCATCTTCATCTTACTTTCCCGCTCAAATTCTCATCTCCATCGTAAAAACGAAACACAAAAAAATAAATACACAGAACATCTCTGAAACAAAAACTTAAGGAATCCGAACAAACTCATCGCTTTTCGTTTGATCATTTTTGTCATCGAAAAGCACTCACTCCATGGCTCCAAAAATGTTTCCGGGCTCTATGGCTCGGCACCTCCATAGCCACCATGGCCATGATGCTCCACCTCTTGCAGCAACGCGGCGAGCCTTTCTCGCATGGCCTTGGGAAAAATCTTGGCTTTTCGTAGCTGGCGCCAGGGCTATCAGGGCTATCGAGTTGGAGGTTTCCGTTCAGTCATGGGGGTACCCCCATTTAAATCATCCATTTATAGATGGGATTTTCCATGATTAAACCGAAAAATGGGGTAGCCTAAAATTTATGGAAAACCCCTAATATAGGGGGAATGATGAGGTAAATATCGAAGTACCATCCTGGAAGGTTTCCCTCGGGATATTCTTGGTGACTTGGGGATTCCTCTAGGGGTAATACAGCAACATGGCCATAACCCTCCAATAATCAACAATCAATCAATTGAATCAACTCTGGATATATGATGATATATGTGTTGAAGCTACGAAAGTGGATACAATAACCGTCTTACCAAACACATGTGGTAATCTGGCCATATAAGAATGCAAACCCTCAACTAGGGGGATAGTTTACAATATGATACTGTAGCAGGTCCGTGGTTTGAACCTTTTGAAAAACCGAGTTCCAACGGACCCTGTGCCTATCAGCTCTAGATCAACTCCCTGTAGAACGCCGTGGGTTGCCCCTGCGGAGGCCCTTTTTTTGCTTGCCAACGCCAGAGGCCACCGCTCCCCCTTGGTGAACAGCGCCCTGAGTCGCGGTCTCCCGAAGGGTCAAAGATCTGTGAGCTGGCCACAGCCCAGGCACCAGACCGGTTGGAAGAAAGATTTGGCTATGGATTCTATGGATCAATGTCAAAACCCAAGCACCCTTCTTGGACACAGGATGTTTCAATGGTGGGAAACCCCCATTGTTTTCCAGTTGTGTGGGAAAAGCATCAGGCCATTGACCCCTCATTTAGGCCATTGACAAACTAGTGCAGTGACCTAAGGACCGTTGCCTGGCGCTTTCACCGTTGCCATCACTGGGTCCTTGGGACCGCTTTTCAAATCCCACAGATCCGACTCAGGAGTGAAGAAAAGATCTTCGGCTGCTTTTTTTGGCCTGGGGACCCCCCAAAAACACCAACCGGTCGATGCTTCAAGAGCCATGGCATGCCATGGCCTCAAAAAATGGATTGGGAAAACTTGGAAAGCGAAGGTCCCCAAAAGCCCATCGCTCAGATCACGAGCACCTATCTACCATTATCTACCCCTAAGCACGGCACAGCAACCTCAAAGCTGTTAAGCGGTTGCTATGCTCACAAGTTTGGAGCAAAAAGTTCGGAATCAGGACACCACAGTTTGACAAGATAAAACGGGACGAGAGATGGATCTCCATTTCACTTTCAGAAAGCAGAACTTCTGGTGCAGCTCCAAGTCTTTCCGACTCAACTTGTTGGGCACAAAATGTTGTGATGTCCCCCAATTTGAGATCCTAAAAGTCCTAAACTCTACAGCCTCAGTTGGCCAAGTTGGAGATGGACGGGGATGCTCCCCCGAAATTTGGAGACCCCAAGGATGCGCAGTTGTTGGCTTCCGGCGTGACTTCGCATGCCTGGGGGGAGGCATCCTGCGCATGGTACGGCAGCCCCACCGCCTGTCGCAGGGTCAAATGATGTCTAAGAGCCTGAAACATTGGGCTGACGGGCTGGGGGACAAAATGAGCTCACAAATGTCACCGGAATTAGGCATATATAGATCCAAAATTGAGTTACCTCTGGATTGGCAACTTCAGGGTTGCCTGACAGCTAGCTCTCAAGCTCTCAACTCTTTTGGATGCCCCCAAATGCATCAGCTAACGTCCATTCATCCGATCATCTTGAAATTGGGATTGAACCATTGAACCTTCCAAATGTTCTAATTGGGATTGAGCTTGTGAGCCAATTTTCTAATTGGGAAAGACTGAAACCCCAAGAATTCTCATCTTCCCTTGGGGCCTCGTGCCACTGCCGGCAGGGCAGCAAGGGTGGCCTCTCTTGGAGACGGAGCAAAGGTCGGAAGGCACTGAGACCCGAGGTGCTTCGGGCACCGAACATTGGAGGAAGATTGTCCTGGAGGCTAAAAGCAGGCAGGGATCGGTGCACTGTGTGCACTGTGACTCCTGTCATGAAATTATGGCCGGGTAAGTCTGGTAAGTGGCTAATGACTTCTGACATCTTCTGACCATATGACAAGTCGCAACTGAAGGATGAGTGGAAGAATAAGATATCTAAGATATCCATCAATATCCCCTATAGTTCTATCATTCCATCATGGTAACAAGCCCCATAAGATGGGATGTGCGAGCCCTATAGGATCCCACTGCCAGGAATGGGATAGAATGGGTTGATGGGGATATGATCGATCAGAATGGTAGTTGGTGGATCCTAACTGATGGTTTCAAGCGACAAAAAAGTAGGATGCAAACAACACAAATACAAGAAAGATAAGTCAGAAAACATTGGGATTTAAACCAGCAGAATTTTGGATTGGGAACTCGTTGACAACTGGGGTTTTTCCACGCAACCATAAATGGGATTTTTATCCCGTTGACGGAGAAATCGGGGTCGGTAAACAGGTACCAACTGGGATGAACCTGCAGGGGATTGATCTTCACTATCAGGCTGGTTTTTTGGGCTAGCCGGCCGCTAGACATACCCTCTGGTTATGACTAACATAGCCATGGAAAATCACCATTTTTAATAGGTAAACCATCTATAAATGGGCCATTTTCCATGGCTATGTTAAATAACCAGAGGGTAACACTTCTTGGCAATCGCTTTTTTATGGCAACCATGTCATGTGTAGATGATCGACATGTTAAACGTACTGCCATTCGTGCCAGGAATACAAAGTGGTGATGTCATCCATCCCATAGGACTCCAAAGTATGTATGTATCAGTATCATATCCCATCAAATCTCACTCATAGCTCATCAATATCTTTTGAATATCATTAATATACTATTCAATATAAAAATATATAACAACAATCATTTCTTACATAATCTCATACTATCTCTTTTCTACCGCACATTCATGGGACCCATGTCCCAACAACCATTGATCTTCTGCCGTCCGCCAGGATCAAGGTAGGAGGAGCGTTCAAGCTTCGCATGGCGCCAGCGGCCAGGAGCAGCGCTACACCCACCTGGCCGCCGAGCGAAAAGTTTCCACGACAGGTCTGCCTGGGGAGATCTAAATAAATCCAAATTACTACTATAACTCTATATATATATATAGATAGATATGAATCCAGATAAAGATAGTTATATCAGTTATATCTATATCATATGTCTATATCTTACAGTTCTGTTATAGATAATATATAGTTATAGATGAATATCTATATGATTCTATATCTATATCTATAGCAACTTGGATCATCATATCATGTTTCCCCAGGAAAAAAACTGTTTCGGAGCGATGTCTTGAGGTGACCGAAACATGTTTCATGTTGGCATTGAAGCCACACCAATGGAGACTCCACGGAGAAATGTCCATTCAACGAACGAAAAACGATAGGAGCAAAAAAAATGTATCTTCACCTAGAAGCGTGACATTCCCAACATTCTGGACATACAGTATGATCCAGCCGCCCTTGGTAAAGATGGCAACATGACGTCGGCTCTATTTCCTGTTTGGTCATGGGTCAAAATTTGAGTGGGGACAACAAGTCGTTGCTCATTTTGGAAATGTTTTGTTTTTGTTAATGGTGTACTTCAAGTTCAATCCATACAAGATGGTTTTCCATGGATAGTTGAGTTGGTTTATCCCCAAATTGAGTTGGTTTTCCATGGCCGAGGGGCACAGTGGCTCAACCAGGCTCCACGGACAAAACCGGGAGCGAGATCTTCATTGGACACTGGAGCAACCCTAGGCTTCGGTCAATGGGAATTCCAGGATCCTAAATGGAGGTACGTTAGTACCATATTTCTGGCCATATTTTCTGGGGATATTCCCTGAAATTTAGGCCTAACAAATAGGCCTCATATATGGTAGGTACCCTCTGGTAATTTAACATAGCTATGGAAAATCACCATTTTTAATGGGTAAATCCACTATAAATGGCAATTTTCAATAGCTATGTTAGTTTACCAGAGGGTACCTGCAATGAATCGGATCTTGTTGCATGGCCTAGGCTTCGGGGTCACCAGGGCCAGTGTTGGGACAAGGTACGGCAGGGATACCCCAGGGATGGGATAAGCTGCGGACATGTCTTGGGATCTTAAGGACACTAGATCCGTGGTTTAAAACGACCAACTGTTGGCTTATATCCCGTAAATGCATATGTGATATATCATGTTATGTGTATTTATATATATATATATACATATATATATATGTATATGTATATGTGTATGTATATTATATATATATATTTGTATTTGGTCTGTGACTTCGATTTCCTGTTTGTTGATGGTTTCACCTCAACATTCATTTTGCGAAACTGGGGTTCAACCCCCCAGTTTCGCGAAAACTGGATGCTTAATGATCCCATCCTCCTAATATTCAACATCCCTCCAGAAACCAGGGTTTCATAGGGAGTTTCCACATCATTGGGACCATTTGGAGGTTTCCTAAAATGGGAGTACCCCCAGTCATCATCCATTTATAGATGGGATTTTCCATTGTAAATCAGCCTTGGGGTACCCCTATTTTAGGAAACCTCCATTTTGGGGGATATTTTTCACAAGGGGATTTGGGATTTTTCGCCAAGCCACCCCAAAGCTCCATCCCACAGCTGCCAGACGCCGCGCCAAACTAGGACACAACACCAAAAGCCAAGGTAACCTCAAAGGATTTGCTGACAAAATATGATACCCAACAATAGATCAAGCCGTGTCAATGGATTGGTTTTGTTGGGAACATCTTAACCGGAAACCATAGATGTTCCCTTAAACCAATCTCCATCAATGGAGATACTGTGGATGGGAAAAAATGCAGCACCATCAAAAGGATGGTTGAAAGCCTATGAATAGTGGGACAAACCACCTATCAACTGGTGCAGGATTTCGCTGGCCCATCCACAGTATGATATCCAACAATAGATCAACTGTGATTTCAAGCCATTTCAAGACCTAAAGCATTGGTCAGCTAGGACCATCATATATTCGGGCGCGCATGCTATCCTGGCAAAGATCTTCCAAAGCTTTGCCGCCGCAACTAAGAAATGGCTGGTGACCACATATATATATATAATTTATTTACGTATATTTAATGAATAGAATCATATTATTATGTGTATATTATACCTGTGTGTGTGTGTACGCCGTGTATATGATACAGATACATTTATAGTATCATCCGCAGAAGCTACCGTTCGCTGAAGATAGATGTGACCAGATCAACCATCTGGCGGAGACCTACAGATCAGCCTGGGATGCCATGGGTGTCATATGGGGGGTTCCCGAAACGGGATAGCCGGGATATCTCAACATGGATGGTTTATTTTCATGGAAAATCCATAAATGGATGATGATTTGGGGGGTAGCCTCATTTCAGGAAACCCCCATATGGTTATGGGATGTTATGGGTCAAATAGCTGGTTAATGGCTAGTTATTCCCCCCAAATATGGTAGAAAAATGTAGAAAATAGGTTTTGACCCATTGTTGACCACCTTTTTCTTAGTTGAATCATGTTGAACCCCTGACTACCCCTCCGCATCAAGTCGCTGTAGATGGCATCCACCAACCAGAAGATCTGCTTGTGCCGCGCGCGACCCACTGCTGAGGCCAGGCAAGGCTGGGCAAATCCTCCAACGGATCACCATCAATGGATGAAACAAACATATCTGGTTGGTGGTTTCAATCCCTCTGAAAAATATGAAAGTCAAATGGGATTATTGTTCCCAACTATTGGGGGAAAATAGAATTCATGTGCCAAACCACCAACCAGATATGTTTCATAACCACTTACGATTTTGTGGGATGATCCTCCAAGTAAGTGGGTCTTTCTGCGGTGTGCATCGTTTTACCTCATTCGGAATTGGTATGTGACCAAGAAACATGTTTGTTGTTCAAGCAGCTTGAATTTAGAAATTGCTGTAAGTAAAATTGGGATTGACTCGCAATCAAAAAAAAAACACATCAAAACGGGATGCGTCAGCAGCAAACATGCGGATTCAAGCATCAAACTGGGGATGGTTCAGCAACTGAAATGTGTGTCTCACCAACAAAAACAATGGGTCAACTGGGTCATGGGTGTACTTCATCAGTCATTGTAGTTCCCCATGTTGGGATTGTACGAACATGACATGTCTTGTGATTGAACAGTGAAATGATGGTCCAGCCACCCCCAAGGCTCGTGAAACACGAGTCACATCTAGTGAATCTAGTAACCACCATGGTGAGGATCCCATTGTTCCCCAGAAACTCCAAAGAAAACCACAACCAAAAGAAACGAGTTGGTTGATAGGTTTCTATACTATGAGCGATTTCCAACTGCCAAAAAAACGAGAACAACCTGAATAAAACATGAAAAAAACGAGAGCCGAGAGCCGAGAGCCAATCCTTAAGCTGAGTGGCCCAGGATGCCAAACAAGACCACGCCCCAGCCGAGCCCCAACGCTGCACTGGCGCTAGGTCTGGCGCCAAAAACTGAGGAAATGCTGGTGGAACTTGTGGGGGAGTTCATTGAATCAAACACTTGGTTATAGCCTATATAGCCATTTAAGGAAAAGAATGAACCGTAACCTGCAGAACCCTGGAGGCAAAGCCAGGAATAGAATATGTTCATAATGTTGAAAGCAAAGAAAAGTGGATTGCTGCAGAAATTGGGGGTTGACCACTCATGCGATTCAGCCTGTCTTTTTGTCGACAAAATTGCGATTAAAAGGTTTGTGCTCCACTTGACTCTATTCCCATTTGGAAGAGCCCGTGGACGCCCGTCGGGACATTTGGACAGGCACCGAAAATGAGATGGATCATCGTTTCTCGATCCTCTGAAATTGAAATATGTTTTTCTGGAATCTTTTTTTTGGAGCCTTCGATCCGATCAATCCGGGCTCATCATGTCCTTTGAGCCGCTGTCTTTCTCCACTTTGGCCGAATAGACCTGCATTTCCTTCTCGGCTCCTTCGAGCATTTCTAGAAGCTCGGCATTGGCACCCTTCTCCTGAGGGGTATCACTCCGAGCGCTGAAGCAACCAAAAACATGCGCAAAAACTTGCAGGAACATGGTTTCTTGCTCAAACCATGACTTCACCACCGGTGCGATTTTCAAAACTAAGAAAAAAACCAGCCAGGTTCATTTTAGGCACCCAAAAATTTAAAAAAAACAACATCAGCCATGAGTAGATCCACATCAGCCATGTCCTTGGCCAGGTCTAACGGACTCTTACCATCCTCATTTTTGATCCTCACAGATCTCTCACCTCCATTCTCCACGATCAGAAACACCACGTCCTGGCGCTAGCAGTTTCACCAAAAAGTGCCCCGCTAGCTATTTCAATGTTTCAACCCAAAAAAGGATGAATTCCCAAGATAAATCATGCAACTATAGATATCCCGGTATTTTCATATCACCCCAATCAGTTCTTGCTGCATAAAGTCATGTTTGAGCACCATGTTCATTTTGTTCATCATTTCCTTGGCTCCACTGATGGCTGCTTCGTGCAGTGCCGTGTTGCCACGTTTGTTCTGCATGTCGCGTTCCGCCCCGCCCCACAGCAGCATCGAGGCCACTAGTCTCTTATCATGGATGGCAGCCAACATCAGTGGCGTGTTCCCATGGGCATCCACGAGGTTCCTGAGTTGAGTGGCTTGAGGTTTCTGGAAAACTGGCTGGGTCAAAGAAGCCATGGAGGGACACAAGAAATAGGGTATTGATTGATTCTTTTCCATCCATCCATATACACATAGTGGATGATTTTTCTGGGCTATAATTCATGATATAAAAACTTGTCAGGATTATCGTCCCACGTAGGATTAACTAATTGAATTGGCTTCTAATCATCCATAGGGGTTTCGGCCCGGCTCAAAATTATCACTCTCACGAAAATGGTTGCCATTATGAGTGTTTCTCAAACTTGAGGTCTCCCAAAACCATGTGTTTCCCCACTGAAAAAGATCCAAGAACTTAGATGAGAACTTGGGGTTCCCCATGACAAGCTCCCCTATATGTCTACCCAGCTTCACATCCGCACTGCATTCCACCAACAGACCCCCAGCGGCCGCCTCGCCATTCTTCGCCGCGCAGTGCAGGGCGGTGTTGCCCAGTGCATCCTTGGCATCGATGTCGAAGTCATCGTGGTCCATGAAGGTGTTCATCGAACCGATGTCGCCCGCGGCGGCAGCATCAAAAATGGTGGTCATCAACAGCTACGCCAGCGAAGCCGCTGGTCTTTACAGGCTGGGCCGAGTCTGGTTGAGTTTTTGGAGCTTGAAGCAAAATATCTCCGGAAACTGCTGATCCGAGTTGTTTGAGCTGTACACCTTTTCTGGCCCACCTTCACACGCATCATGCGCATAAGGAACACGATCATGGTAAAAGCAGGACCAACACAGCCACCACCGGCAACAACAACAGTACCAACAAGAAGACCAACCAACACCACAACATTCGTAATGTGAATTGTTCTCGTCATTCCCCGTTCCTCATCTTCATTCTCTTCATTGAAATCTGTAAAACTACCATCTTGAAGCCAATCAGTCCGAGATGGAAAATGACAAAAAATTGGCCCTGGTTGCACAAGACGGGCGTCTCGGAATGGATTCTGATCATCCCCAAAGAATACAAAGGGTAGGTGAATAACCCCGAACCAATCATCCACCAATCATCATTTATCATCCACCAATCATAATGTATCAATCATATCATGTTATATCCCCATATATACTTCATCCAGATTCGCTGGTTAACCACTTCACCATCGGGAGAAAAAGACCGTAAAGCCGTAAACTCTCCATGTCTCAAGTCTCCCAATTTGTTCGATGAGAAATGATAGAAATGGAGAGTTTACTGATAACTGCTGTTTCCACATGATTACTGTCCATAAGGACAGTGTTCAGTGTTGTTTCACAATTTGTCCATAAAACTGTCCATAAAACAGAAATAAAACCGTTTTCCATAACAAAGAACCACTGTTTTATGGACAGTTTTAACTGTTGTTTCACAATTTTACAAAAAAAAAACTCTTTGTTTCCACTTGAAATGACCTCCCCAGATGTGTCCAGCACGCCGAGTCAAGCCTTTGTGGCCAGAGTTGAGCATCCAGCAGCAGCCAGGCACCCCGCCAGGCACTGGCCACCTGACCAAGCGAGAAACCCATGGCAGTTTGATGACACCATTTGGCAGTGTGTCAAAACCAATAGTACCCCTGTAGTTCACATCAAAATAGCTGGGATTTATGGATGTGAATAACCCCCTAAAAATGGTATTAATAGGTATTGATCCATACCCATTTAGGCTACCCTCAAGATGTTGTTTTTTTCCATAGAAACCCAGGAATTCCATTTTGGTCAAGACACAACATCGAGCGTTGAAGCGAACCAAACTCTTGATCTATAGCCAGGTGTGTTTGGCCCAAAAATCTGGCTACTCCGAAACTCCAATGGCTCAAGTTCCAGTGTGGAATAAAATAATGTTGCCAGTTTGCCTCAAGTGATGCATCATGTTCCATTTTTACAATCCAATGCTTAAATCTGATAGTTAAAAGGTACCCCGGCCACAAGATGCGCCCAAAATCCCATGGAATTGCATCCTTTCCCCAAAAAAAAATGTAACTTGGGGGTTTGCTCCGTTTGCAGACACACCAAATTTATCTTTGATTAGTTGTATCCTGTTTTTCTCCCATTCTAGTCCATTGAAAACGATTGAATCACCATGCAAATTGCCATAAATTAAATCCTAGTTGATTATATGTATATTATGTATATATATATATATATATATTAATATTAATCCCACTATTGTAAGTCTCATCCCCATCATTTGTGGTTGCAAAAAAAAATGACAATATCCCAAGTTTGGCTGATGAAATCCCTATGAAGCCGAGTGTCAGCTGCCGCGACCACCAGAGCCACGAACCACTCCACATAGACGGTCCAGTGACCTAACGAAAAAAAACTGGGGATGATTCCTGGGGTCAAAGTTGAGTCAAATTTGGGAATTTTCTTGGGATTTTTCAGGGATGGTTATGGATTTCTATGGATTTCTGGGATGTCTGAGTCAACTTTGGGACCATTTTTGGGTCACCTTTTTGGGGAGCATCACTTAGACTTGGTCGGCTTGCCAAAGCGAAAGCACCAGTGCCTAGGGTTTGCCACAGGGCGTAGTCGTGGTTCGCTTCCATGGCGCGATGAGTGGATGGCACTGAAATCCCAGAATTTCTTGCAGGAAATCCCATGAGGATCTTCTAGATGTTCCCTGGACAACTGCCCAAATGACAGATAACTTAGCAAGGAAACTTGTGAGGCGCCGCTCCGTTTGGGTCGCAAAACCTTGGCAGTTAAAAAAAATGCCCCATGATGCCATGGTTCGTCAAGAAGGATACATTAGGACGGAGTATGCCTCGTAAAGTCTTTATTGCTGCACTCTGGCAGTTCGAGCCACGTCGCAACAAAGAGGGACACACATCAAATTAAAATAAGGGAACCTCAATCATCCGCCATTCTATGTGAATGACTGTTTGCAAACGTGGCATGAGTGGCCCAGTTATGCCTGTCGAAAGATGTCTATACAGTGCTCTACTTTCTGGTTTCAAACATGTCTTTTTTTCGAACCTAATTATTCTGGAAAGCCGCAGAAATCAGCACGGAAAAAAAAAACCAATGAAGACCAGGCCGTTTTGTCACTATGAATATGTGCCATGGCAGAGGCTGGCAGCGGCTGGCAGCCCGAGAGTCTCCATCAAATCACCAGGTTGCCCCGCTTCAGTTTCAGCATCCTCATCATCCTCGCTGTCCTCCTCACCTGCCAGTACCCAGCACAAACACGGTATACACTGATGTTTCTGTAGTATAACAGTATAACCCCCAAAAACTTCGAAAAGTCATGTTGCCAAAGCTACAGCATCACGATTAACCGTTGCGTATTACTCCTCTAATTTTTTTGGGATTTTTAAATATACCCTCTGATAATATAACATAGCTATTGAAATGACCACTTAGTTCGTTGATTTACCTATTAAAAATGGTGATGTTCCATGATTTACCCATAAAACATGGTGATTTTCCATTGATTTACCCATTAAAAATTGTGATTTTCCAATTTTTTTTATGCAAACGTTTGCCAGAGGGTATCTTTCCATACCTTTCGACCGAGCCGCTCTCTTCCTCCTCCTCTTCCGGCGCCGCTGCGGGAGGTCCAATGGCATATCTGCGGCCATTGGCGGTGGTTGAGCTACCATATTTAGAACAGGAAGTCATTGATCAAAAGAAAACATGCTGTATTAATAGGATATCATGCTGGAATCATGCAGGGGATATATATATATATATGATATATGATATTATATGATATAATATTATATACATGTATAGATTATATTATAGAAAGAAGTTATAGAAGCCATAAAGTGAATGTTTGTTGTTTTAATCCTCCCATTTTGGGGGATGGAAAAGATTGCAAAAGATTGCAAACCACCAGGCTGGGTACTGTCTACCGAAGCTATTCTTCGAGGATGATCTACCGGGTTGAAATGAAGATACCTGTGGCTGCGGCTTCAAATCTTCATTTCTTGCAAGGTAGATCATCATGTTTCCGGCTTCAACATGCTTCAAAGCCCATATTTTGCTGGTTAAAGCATGTTAAACCATGTTCGCTGGTTCTGATTGGAACCCCACTTTTGCTGATGAAAAGTCCGTGTTGCAGCCACCCAAACTGGATAAGCGGACCTCCGCATGCTGCAATCATTCTCATCGCAACCTTCCTCGAAATTCAGCAGAACTGGGGATGTAAGCAGAGGGCACTTCACCAACAAATTTTGGTCGATGTGTGCAATATCATCCACATTGGTCACATCTTCGTGAATTCAGGTTTCCCTGATAAACATGGCAACCAGCCAGTGCAGACAAAAAAAATGCTCCCCATGCTTCAATGGCCAGTGCGGGAGGTCGCTAACATCAGATTTGGGATAGAATACACACTCCAAATGGCCATAGGAAATGATGATCAATGGACTTAGGGCTACCCTATTTTCGGACAGTATACGGGGTCGAAAAGAAGTCGTACCGAACACGACCACCCCATTGAAATGGTGTCGGCTTTCTTTGTTTTTTGTGGCTTCCCACGAGCATACTCGTCAGGGTTCAAATTGATATATATATATATATATAGATTATATAGATATATATATATATATAGTACAGTCCATCATTTTCCCCTATCATCGGCTGGTCATTCACAATCACAGGACCGGAAGTTCTGAATCAGGGGTTCATGGATGAAAATGTCAGTTTATGTGTCAACAAATTGAAGTTGTTTGGGAAATTTCCCAAGTGTTGGTGAAGCACAGTTATATGGGTTTGTGTGAAAATAGGGCACGGAAATATCCGGGGGGTATCATCTTCCAAATAGAATTGCCACTTGGGAGTACAGCTCGTTTTCAGACACACCTGAACTTCCAATTTGCATCTGAAGTTCATATGGGTGCACGCACTCTGCATCCAGCATCAGTAGCTTGGCAAAGTTGGTCGCTACCTGACAATTCGCGTGTGCTGCGTCTGTGTCCTGATCTATCTGGGCGTGTCTGAGAATGGGGCAGTATACCCAAGAAGACTGGGCTGACCCCTGCTTCGGAAACTGTGCTTCGGAAACTATGCTTCGGCAACCATGGTTCTGAACCAATCATTCGGAACTATGCTTCCGAATCTATGCTTCGACAACCAAGAAGAGGAACTATGTTCGGAAACCCTAAACCCCAATCCAACCGGAAACCACACCTAAATCCACCCGTAAGCAAACCTAAATAAATTCTAAATAAACCCTAAAGCAAGCCTAAACCAAACCCAAATACACCAAAAACCAGCCCTGAAAAAGGCCGAAAGCAAGCCTAATGAAGGGGGAAAAGTTTTGATATTGACTTAGAGCGGTGGCATTTGTTTAGTTTCAGAAGTGTAGTTGCTGAAGCGAAACTATGGTTTGGTTGCTGAGCCGCAGTTGCTGTGCAGTAGTTTCAGAAGTGAATGTATGTCCGGTTGATTGCTGAGCCGTAGTTGCTAAAGCCGGATTTAATACCAAAGATTGCCACCTCCGTAAAATGATGATTAGCCACTGGATGGAGCAGTACCCGCCATTTTCATATGAACCAATCTCAAGATAACTCATTGCACCGCATTTCTACTAGACTCGGCTCCAGAAAAAGAACTGATACGTCAAGCATCATCAAGCTATAGCCTATAAAAAATAGACCCAATTTCCCCATAGCCGCAACCCAGGGGGCACCGATCTCCTGAGGCGCCACACCCATTCAAAGGTAGGGGCAACGCCCCAAGGCCTTGGACATTGGAACGTCTCCAGGCGAAGCGATCCAACGGGTGACTCTCGAGGTTCCAACGCAGCTTTCTTTTTGAGGTGTTTCTTCCAGGTACTGAGGACCTTGCGCGGGGCTTCCAAAGGTATCCAAGAGTGTCTATCCTAGAATTGGATTCAGGGGGAATGTTCAGGAAACCCCAACCATTGATCAATGCTTTCCTGCAATCTTTCCTGCTATTTTTCTGAAATCATCTGAAATCAACCAGTTGCGATACTTACCAGTTGCGATGTGTTTTTGGGATGATCTGATGGAAGTTTCTGATGTTCGGTTCAGTCGGTTCACCCGTTCACCAATGTCGCGATTTCGACAGCGGAATGTACTGTTGGTTGGGGTTCGCCAAACAAAAAAATGACGGTCACTTTTGATCATCTTGATTCCAGGTGTGGAACACATGATTTTAGTGGAACCGGTGGCTATGTTTTGGATACTTCTTGAACCATCCCCTGGATTTCGATGGGGGGATCGAAATCCAATCTCTCCGGTGAAACAAACACAACAAGGGGGAACAAAAAAAACGAGGAAAACACACCTAGCCGCCATGTCAAGCTGGTGATTGGAAACTGACCATTTTAGAATTTTAGAATGAGTTTTTTTCCATAGTTTTTCAATGTTTTTCATTTAACTATGGGGAATTCTCCAATGCCATGGCTCGCCCTCCAAAAATAGCCCTGAGATCCCCCCGACCTCGTCAGCAATCCTGGGGACGAGGGACGAAATATTTTTGGGGCTCGTGGCTGAGTAACAACCTGCAACTGATGTATAATTTCCTTTAAAAAAACATGGAAAATATTGGAAAATCATGGGTTGGAAGACAATTCATTATATTCATTCCTCTAAAAATGGCTGATTCTCAGGGGGTCTAGCTGTTAGTTGGGAATGGTAACCATATCTAACCAACCAACAAATGGGGACAGAAGCATCAAAGCTCGGGACGATGGTTGGCTGATTCTCCAGCAACTCGACAGTCACCCAAGGAAAGTTGATGATCCGGTAACGTTGGGCGGCAAATCATCTACGTTCCTGTGGTATATTTGGCTTCCAGGACACGAGCTGTTTTTGACCAAATGGCAATTCATGGGATGAACTGGATGCATCAGATTTGATTTCCCTGTTCGTTTCAGAAAGTAGATCACAGAGGGATTTTCTCCCTCACGAGAGGGATTTTCCAACTCTTAGAGTTCAAAGGGCTGTAGCCTCTGATAATTTATGATCATTTTACATATGGGGATGGGTCAAAACCCTGGTACCTAGTGAACCCCAAAATAGCTGGTAAATGGATGTTCATCCCATTAAAAATGTATCTATAGGTATTGAACCATACCCATATGGAAAAACAATGAAAAACACCTTCGGGATCCCCCCATTTTAAGAACCCCCGATTTGAATTCAGCAGCTGAGGCTCTTGGTTTGGAGCTGCGGCGGCAGTTCAGAGCTGGGCACCTCTGATAAAAACCCCTTTTTGTGGTGTTTGACCCTCACGTCTCACCAGGAGAAATGGTGGAGAAATGGTGAAAAATGTGGATTTCGCATGATTTAATCCATGCTCCATGGTGATTTTATGGGACTTAAAGAGGGATTTAATGGGAATTAGCACGAATTAGCCATATGTGTGTTGCTTGATGTTATCCCCATTGACTCTAGAATAATCTAAAGATCTAAACCCTAGTTTTTGAAGTTGTAAACTAACTTCGCAAGCTTTGTGGGCACCACCTTGTTATGGTTGGTTGTTTGTTGTTTTGATCTCCATTTAAGCCGACTCTTCTCAAGAAACTCTGCGCAAATTGGAATCGATCTGAAAGCCTAACCCATACAAATCAGAAAAAAAATGGAACCTGTGAAAGCTTGTGGAAATGGACTTGGGGCTCAAAAATGTTGGGTTTTGAAAACCAATCATAACGGATTAAATATGATTCCATGACCCTAATATCAAACACCCCATAAATGGTCCCAATTATATACGTGGAAAGCCCCTACTAAACCATTGTTTCTAAGGGGGTGTTTAATGTTAGAGGGAAGGGATTAATTCTGGTTTGCAACTACCAGAGGGTGGTTGACTGACAAAGATGCTAAGACAGATGGGGGTGTTTGACGGGAAACAATGGGATACTGTCGGACATCACCTTATGACTGTGAGTCAAATGTTATTGGCCCGCCCGTACCGTACCCAGATTACCTGCAGACACCATCTTTTTGCGGGCTCAAGCACTATTCAGGATTGAATAGTGCTTCTTTACACTGCCTCTAAAAAGCAAAATGTAAGCACCCCTGATACAAAGGCTGAAGTGGTAAAAACGGCAACATTTGGGAATGGCCATGCACTGGTTCTGGTATGTCATACGTATGTGCTTCTGGTCGGTGGCTTCGTTTGTTGGGGCTGGGAAAGTTGCAGATAGCACCACCAACCAGTACGGAAAGATTGGAAAGTCAACAAGTTTCGGCGCCCCCTTCCCCCAGAGTTTTGGCCCTACCCGAAAAAAACAAAGGAGGGCCCACTGAAACACCAAATCAGCACCTCAACCTTGAGCTCAACAGGCTCTACAGCGTTGATGACCAGCTTGACTGGAATCTCATAGACATCCTGAATCTGACGGCACGAAATGGTCAAAGTTGGGGACCCAACACGATTTGTGGATCGAATCTTCTACTGAACATGGCCATTGTCATTCGCTAGGCCTAGGAATTTTGAGGATCCCCAAGTTATCAAGTTTTTTCGTCGGAGCAACAACTTTTTCTCGCTTGGAACCAGCAGCAAGTGCTGGAAGAGCATGTCATGGCCTCCCTTTGAGATGACTCCCAAGTTGGAGAAATACCCTCTGGTAATTTAACATAACTATGGGAAATCACCATTTATAGTGGATTTTCCCATTGAAAATGGTGATTTTCCATAGTTATGTTAGTTTACCAGAGGGTAGCTGACAACACGGATGAGAATAGGCTGTCGCCGGTGATCTGCCCCAAGTTTGTACCCCTCGTTCTGGAAATCCTCATGCTTTGACCATCCCGCCCAGAAATACGAAAAAAAAAAAACATGCGGGATTGAAACTACTTCTTTGGAGGGGAAACCCACAAAACACCATGTTTGAGTGGTTATCTCATGCTTTTCTGAGAGAGCTGTGAGGATCACATGTGCGGCTAGCTCAACAGCAAGTTGCAAAGGCTTTGGCCGCCGGAGGCTGCTGCCTCGGGGCAGCTGAAAAGGGGATCAAAGCAGTAGAAGTTAGGCAAGGTAGGCAGTTAAGCCATACAGAAAACCAGTGAAAATGGTATCTAAACAACAATAATGCAAATTATATATGTAGTAACCAACAGCAATGGGTTTGTACATAAGATGTAGATCTAGGACGGTCAACCAACTGACTCCAACGAACGGATCGGAAGGCCTATGATATGTTTAAGAGGAATTGGGGATGTTGCCAATGATATCTAATCTAGTATAGCTTTGGCCAAAATGGGACACGGTATACCCAAACCCACTGCTGAATGATCATGTTTAGCATTGAAATGGCAAGCACATTTTGAGCCCATCCCCACTTTGCCAGAAAGTTCCTCAGAAAAATGATCGACTGGTACACCATAGCTTCTTGGAATTTGTGTTTACTGTTGCTATTGTTTACATATTATATTATACATATGTATATTAATATGTATATATATATTGTATTACATTGTAGTATATTCATTGTCCATTTACCTACCATTTCGAATATGTTCACGGTCTTTTCCCACACAGAACAGCCTTTTGCTCTGTTGTTCGCTCTCGGCTTCGCTCTCGGCCCAGGGGCAACGCCAACATGGCCCAGACCGGGAATGGAAACGTCGCAGCCTCTTTCTTTGCCTCGCCCCAGGGGGGATTGATGGGGATAATTCCATGCCTGGCAGATTGGTTGATATACGGATTCCATATGGGATATATTATACATATATATATATGAACTTATTTAGTGGCTGAATTTTGATTGATGTTTTTATTGATGTTGATGGGGATATTTCACGAACTAATTCATGGGGCTTAGGGGAATATACGAACTACTGATGGATGTTCATGGGGTTTATATACAAACCAAGAAGCATAACTGGGGGGGCCTCACCTTGTAGTTTCCTTGCGGAATATTCTACGGTTTTGGTTGATGTTCCATATCTATGTGGCAGTGTGTCAAAACCTTGTACCCCTGGTGAACATCAAAATAGCTGGTAAATGGATGTTCATCCCCCTAAAAATGGTATTAATAGGTATTGATCCATAGCCATGTCAGTGTACTTTTTCAGGTAAAGCAAAGCAAAATGGGACTCTGAACCAAGGTACGTCAGGGAGATTTGAACTGGGTTTTGGTTGCCGCTTTTCACCCCAGCCGTTCCATGCCAGGACCCCAGACCACTGGACTCATTGTTAGTGATTCTGTGGAGTTGTAGTCGCAGGAACCCTATCAAGTAATCAGTCATCAACCAGTAGAACCGTTGCTCAATGGTGCTTCAAATCCAGGAACCCAAATTAGTCAGTATTAGTCAAGCTCAGTGGATAACCCATGATGTGGGCTGTCAGGAATTGTCGGAAACCCTAGTTCAACAGCCAACATATGCATGAAAACCCAGATGTCCCGATGTTGGGCAACGGTCACTTTCTGATCGACTAGGCACCAGACAATACCATTGGTCAAGTGCGATAGTCTCTCTTGGATCAAAAACCTGTAAAATGTTGATTTCTATACTAGACTTCCATTCTTACTTGCAACATCCGCACTTCTCTGCTTGCGGGCTTTGACAACGAAAACACACACCAAAAAACATCTGTAGGAAGGACCACTGAGTACCATCTACCCGCGGCAACTCAGATGATCATCATGTTCTGAGACCCTCCAGCCATCGCCTTTCCCAACTTCAACTCTTCCCATTTCTCCTTCGCAGCCTTTAACTCCTTGGAACTGGGTCTGTTCGGATCAAATGTGGCTGGGAAGTTCCCAGTGGAGGTTTAGTTCGCAATCGCATCATCTGTAAACGGGGGATGTTCCATTGCTATGTTTGCTTGCTGTTTGGGTAATATGATATCAATCTCACGGGTAACAAAATCTGTGGGGGAAGAAACCCGGCTGAACACAAATGATGGAGGACGTAGGGTCTCTTCAAACTCATAACAGTCTTGGACAGAACCCATGTCAGAATGTGGGTCAGCTCTCATGACTTTGGGGCAAGGCCTTCAGCTCTCATGTTGGAGCGAGCATCGCTTTGCAAAGAAGCCAAGTCAGCCATGGCCCATGGCAGGAATTTCTGCGGAACTCTGTCGACTGATCTTTACGTGGAGACTGCGTCGATCAGCAACCCCCACAGACATAGACTAGTAAAATCATGTAAAATCCTCTAAATCATGGTAAAACGCATTTCAATCTTTTGGATATGACATAAATCGTATTTGTGACTAAGCTCATCCATTTCACAAACTTCTGCAGAGCTTTATAAGGATCCAAACGACGAGTTTACTTCATGATGATCTTCATGTCGCGATGCCAAAACAGCTTGGGCCATGGAGGATGGGTGCAACCGTCCTGTTGCATCTGGAATGCAGACATCCTGACCATCATTTCTAGTGAGGTTATGGCGACTTCCCCGGTAGAGTCTATGTGGAGTCTCCCTCACGGTGGCCATCCCTGTGGTTCTCAATGTGTTTATAATGCCGAACCTGCCCCTTGTGAACATGTAGAATGTAGGCTGGGGATGGTTGAAGCACCACGGTGTTGGGCGAAAAACAGCGCAAATAGTTTCGTTGAATGTTATGACAGTGTCGGTTTAGGATTTGTTTCAGGTTGGTTTAAGGTTTACCTGGGGTTGGCTGTGGAGTTCTTTAAGCTTGGGTTTAATTCAGGGTGTTTCTAACGTTGGCTCAAAGTTCTTTTTCAAGGTTGGTTTAGGATCCAGTTGCAGTTTGTTTCAGGTTGGTTGTAGGGCTTCTTTAGGGATACAATATGTGCATATAAAGTACCTATAAATATGTGCATGTGCAAATAAAATTAAGTAAAAAACATGCTTATATGTATTATCATATGTCAATATGGTTATGGTTATACAGTATGATGTTCCTTCCTCCCTTCCCTTCCCTTCCCTTCCCTTCCCTTCCCTTCCTTCCCTTCCTTCCCTTCGCAGAAATTCAGCTTGAGCGCCAGAGGATGGGCGGTGCAACATTTACAAGTGTGCCTTCAACACCTGTCGCATCTGGAATTCAGACATTCCTGGTGAAGATTTTTCATCTGCCCCTGGAAGTGATAGTTCTGATCGTTCCAATCCTGACATTTCTGGTGAGGGCATGGTGAAATTGTTCCAATTTGCCCAGATTTAGCCCTCTTGGTAAATCCCAAATTCCTGGTAAAATTTATGTTTCGGAGTCTCACTAGAGGATGAGAGATGACCATCCCAGTTAAGTTAAAAGTCTTATGTAGTAGCTGGATGTAGCTGGTGGGTTCAACCTCTCTGATGAGCCTGGAAAAAGTAGCACCTCAGACTTGATCACTTGCATCTGTCGCAGTTTCCAGGGTTCCAATAGGATTCAGTTGGCCCAGCTGGCACAGAGCTAGTGAAATGTCCAATGTAAACATGTCGTGAGGGCATCATCAATAGGATTCCCAATGCCATCAAGACTTTCTTCCGTTTCTCTTGTGCATCTGACCGCTGCCTAAAGCCGAACTTTGCGACTCACCTGCTACACTGGGGGGTCCTCCAGTCAAGCCGTCGTCGGGGCACCGGTGGCCCTCGACTGCTTCCAACACAATTTCCAGTGGTTCCTCAAGTTGGGTCTCAAAAAGATATTGTGCCTAAGACTTTGATAATTTTGATATGTTCAAGTTACACAACAAGTTACACAAAAACCACCAACAGTTCTTCAGGGGGGTCAAACGTCTGGACCACCCATCTCAATCAATCTTGATGGAGCCGTAGATGCCACGCACAAAGGTGAAGGTGCTGTAGAAACCTGTCATGTTTCATCCAAGTGGGGTGTCCTTAACAGATGGGGTTGGCACGGGTTGGCACCGTTTGATGGACCCCACGGAGGGGTTAACCTCCCACTCCACCAACCAATGGGGGTGTAGATTATGGTGTAGATTATAAACAAGTCAAGGAGTAGTAGCTGGGCAAACCACTTTCAGGAGCTAAAAACGTGGGAAGGGCAGAAGAAAAATGTCCCTGGAGAATGTTTGTCACATGCGCTGATTGTTTTCTCTTCACACCCCTTTCTCTTCACATAATTATCTTTTTTTCTGACACCTGTTGCTCTTGACATCTCTCTTTTTTTTGACATCTCGCACTCATAAAAGGCACCTTAACACAGCAATTCCGCTGCGCAAAGCAACCGGACTGCAAAACACAAGAGCACCATCGCCCAGACGTCACAAGTACCTTTGACGCAGTTCCACTTCGCCAGCGCACAAAGAGCAAGTCCAGCTCCCAGATGGACCCAGGCGCTAGAAAAGAAAGAGTACGGTTTTTGAAACGTTTTCAAAAGATTTCAAAGGGATTCAAAAGGGACTTTGAACTTTGACCAGAAAATGCAGAGCGCCAAAACTGGCGCTAAACCTTGCCAAACAGCAGCACTGAGGCAGAAATTCAAATGCAAAGAGCAAGCACCGGATTGCCAAACTCAATGATACGCACCAACCCGCAAACATACATCAAATGCATTTCAATGCCTCCTGCTCAACCAGCGAATTGCGAAACCTGAAACTACGCAGCGGCTGGAAGCAGCAACATTCAGCCATTCCGACAGCGATTTGCGAGCACCGAGTTGCTTAAACCTTACCCGCGGCGCGCCGTATATTGGCAGACAAACGATGTCCTGCATCCGCTTTTGAAAAAAGTATGTGCGACCTCCTTGAAAAAAACAAATGCATGTTGAAGTTTTTGAAACAAAGCTTTAGTGCGAGCCTTCCTTCAAAAGTGAGATGGTGTTTTGTTCCGTGAGCTGTGAGGTGGTGGTTTGTTGCGAAAGTGACTTGTGATATGCGGTGAGGTTTGGGATTGCTGTATGTGGTGAATGATGTGATAGGCTTTTCGTGAAATCGAGTTGTGAGATGGTGATTTGCTGTGATTGTAAATGTCCGCACCACGGAAGTGCCTCTTGATAATTGATCCATAGTCGGGGATGGGTCTAGCATTTAGAAGCCCAAAATCCCATTCTGGTGGGCACCCCCATTTTGACACAAACTCACAGTTTCCTCAATGAAAAAAGGTTGAAAATAGAAGAAAATGAGGATCCACCATTGGATGTCAGGAGTACCTGTTTTCCAAAGGCATATTACATCTCCAAGTACCAGACTGCACCGAGGTGGGATCAGTGGAAGATTACCCTGGGAGATAGCCATGACAAAAGCTTCTGCACCATTTTCCCACCAATTTTCCCAGAAATCTGGAACGATCTGTGCGCACCTGGAAGTAAAAATGAAGCACCAGTGAAAACTTTGCCATTGTTCGCATGCAATCCCTAAAACAGGGGTCAGTTTGTTCGCATGCCAGAACCCAGCGGCTTGATGCTGAAGCCACCAATTCCCCAAGCAAACTTGAGGTCAGAGGTTACGGATCTTAAAATGTGCTTCTGGATATTTCGCAGCATTTTTTTACCCATTGCAAAATCGCTGAGGTTGAAACCTACAGCTCCGCTAATCAGCCCAAAGATGCACGACATGATGGCCATGTACCTTGGTTCTGGTGAGTTTCGTTTGCCTCGAAAGCCAATACAATTGGATGAGCTTCAAAAGCGAGGTCCTCTTCAATCTCACCAGATTACATAGATTAATGTTCAACCAACCATAACTATATAACTAGTTATAACTTATATATATATATATATAGTAATAATATATAACCATATTATAGTTATAACCATAGATAACCATAGATAACCATAGATAACCATAGATAACCATAGATAACCATAGATATATCATATTATAGAACCTTTATCTCTGCTTAACCCATCGCCTTACTGGTGAGTTTTTCACCATCCATCATCAATCCATGGCTGAGATCCGCACCCAAAGTACATCAACACGGAGACCCAGTGGCGAATCTGTAATCGCGAGTTGAAGTACCTGTCGCTGCTGCTGGTTATTATATGGTTATTATGATGTTAATGTACTGTTCATAATGGTTGATATATGGGTATTATATATGGCTAATGATGGTCAATAATAATCTGGTTGGTGGTTGAGCCCTACCCCTCTGAAAAATGATGGAGTTCGTCAAATGGGATGAAGACATTCCCAATATGAGAGGGAAAATAAAAAATGGTCCAAAGCACCAACCAGAAAGGATAAGTGAAATCCTAGGTGGAAACTTCGAAAAACTTTCACGTTTCTGCCTTTTTGGGACTTGCGGCAGGCAGAAAAGAAAAATCATCTCTAGGTTGATGGAGGGCAGATTCAATGCCTCTGGTATATTTTAGCCCAACGAATGGGAAATGCCTGTAAGCGACAGCCACGCACAGCATCCAATTTTGTCCCTCTCGCTGTGAAATCTGCTGTGCCTCCAGCTACACACGTGCGGCAGGGTTCAAATATTGGATGGCTGCAACATACATCTGTCGTTCTCACAACAGAAGCTGGAAGCATGGTCTACCTGCAGCAAACCACTTGTGCATGAGAGGCTCTCGAAGTATGGAGTGGACAAAGCAACATGTGAAGCGAGTGTCACACAAAGCTGCAAAGCTGAGCTAACGTATTTGAATCGAAGATCTTCTTACGAGTCTTCAGTCCACTCGACACCAGCACCTGCATGGGTGACAGCCCATTCATTCGGAAAAGATATAGAAGCAAACATTGACTGAACTAGATTTCATTGCCAACATGAAGTCATGAAAACAAGGAACAGGGAGGCACTTTTTGGGCCAACCGACGACAAGAGCTGCACCATTTGAAAAAGTACGACGTACGACTTGATGCACCGCTCGGACGCTTGCCCACGGAGCTGCCACACTTCATTTTCCAAACGAATGCACTGAAAATGGCTACCATAAAGGCGATCTACCCTCTGGTAATGACTAACATAGCTATTGAAAATGGGCCATAGAAATAGTGGATTTACCCATTAAAAATGGTGATTTTCCATAGTTATGTTAGTTTACCAGAGGGTAGAATGTCTGAAGAATAATGCCAAGGATGACTGACACAAATCCTTTCTCAACTCGTCAAGCGTTCAAGTGCAAAGCATGCTTCGCTACAGGCACTTGCATACCACTGCTGGGGGATTCACGGACAAAGTTTGCTAAGTTCCATCTCCATCAAAGAAACGCCCGAGGCTAACGAGCCAACATGCGAACCTATTGTACTACTTGCTGAAAGCCAAACTCGACGGAACGCATATGTGATGTAAATATACATGTACTTGAACTTCCAGAGAACTTCAGACATCTTCAGACATGATGGAACACATCACCACCAATCGCATCATGTCTTTCGACCTCGAAACAGGACAGGATAGAGCATCTCCATCATCCCATCCCCATCAACCCCATCAACCCATCAGCCGCACATCACGGAATACAAGAAGACGTAAATCCCCGAGCTTCCGCTGGCTGAGAAGGAGGTCCACCACCATCTGTAGTCCTCCGCTATCTGACGACGGCGGGGGTTTCCCGAAATCTGAGATCCCAGGACCGGAGAATCCAAAAAAAACCAGGAAATCCACCAGAAAATGGCTTGATCCTCAGAGGTGAGCTGAAAGTAGGTCAGTGCAATGGAAATCTCTGCACAGGTGATTAGCACAATGAGCAGCACCAGGGAGAGGAACCCGAAGAGGTAGTAGAACCTGACCATGACCATGGCATGACCATGACCATGTCATGTCAAGACAAAGGATAGATCTACAGGAAAGCATTGCAGTAATGGAACTGATAAATTATAAATTAAATTCCGGGTCCTGTCAATTTTGGCCTGTGTTCAAGTACTTCTATCGGGTTTTGTTCAAATTTAAGCAGGGGTCATCCCTATGAACTCTTGCCCAGAACGCATCAAGCAGTGGGAAAAGAACATCCATGAACCTGGTACCAATTGACCCACAAATTACTGGACATTTGTAGCACTAAACTATCCAATATTCAGATAAAGCATTTTCAGTCATGTCACTAAATGGAAAAAAAAACGATTGGAATGAGACAGAGCAGCAATCCTTCATCCACTAGGTGCATGTGATTGAGTGCTCCAGTGACTGGAATGATTTTGCTCACTCCGACGAAGTGCAAGTAATAAGTAGCACCAAAGGGCAGCCCCTCTCCCCAAGAAAGGTCTACTCCCTGGTCGATCGCAGAAAGTTCAGATTCCTCCAAAAGGTCATCGAAGTGACGCTACAACTTTTCAGGCCCGGAAAGTGCTGGAATCCATGGTCAAATGGGTGTGTCTGAAAATAGTGTACCCCATTTTCCCAATGGTTTTGCTGATCATTATCCCTATTAAATGGTTATTTCATTGGGAATATTAACCCAACATTTTCAGACAAACCCAAATAGAAATGTCATCCCCCAAAAAAAACGTCAGGATCCCGACTCGTGATTCCAAATGGAGGACATAATGAAGAACAGCTCGGTGAACCTTGGCGATAAAAGGGCTGGGTAAATTTTATCCTGGCGATATCACTAATGGGTTTGGTGCCCTGAAAATAGGGTATCCTTAAATCCACAAGAATTGTACCTGAAAATGATTGGAAAACCTCTAAATCCACTGGTTCATCATCATTTTCCTACAAAAATGGCAAGTTTGCAGGTATCCCAAATTATTGGCCAAGCACACTGTGTGCCAACTCCCTGACCATCTACAGACTTTCATGAACAAACACCAGCTCCGAATCCAAAAGGCAGAAATCCTCCATGGTGAACTCGGTGCTCAATTCATGATTGAAATGACCCTTGAGATTGTTTTACATGTAAAAGATCAGATTAAAAGAACAGATCGTTACAAATACATATATACGTAATGTATAGTATAGTAAAATATCATATCATATGCCATATCATATTATATTATATTAATATTATATTTATATTATATTTATATTATATTATATTATATTACATTATGTTATATTATATTTATATTATGTTATATTATATCATATTAAATCAAATTATATCATATCATATCATATTATATTATATTATATTATGCTATTTTATATTATATAATATAATATTATATTATATTATTTATATTATATTATATTATATTTTATATATACCTATATTATATATCATATTATTAATTATTTATTATATGTTATATATCATATATCATGTGTTAGAAATTAAATATTGAATATTATATATTAAAGATTAAATATTATATATTATATATTATATATTATATTATATATGATATACTATATATTATATATTATATACTGAATATTTTATATTAGAAATTATATAATATATATTATTTATTGCATATTATATATTAGAACTTATTTAACATATATATATAATTATATATATATAATTATATATATATATTATTTATTATACATTATATTACATATTATTTATATATTGTTGATTGTATTATCTTTCATTTATATTAAATTATATTATATATTATATGACATATATTGTAAATTGCATTATTTTTTATATATATATATAACTCAGGTGCTCTCCCCAACAGCTTGAAAGCTTCTGCGTTTTTGCCATAAGAAGAAGTGCTTATGCCATAAAAAATAAATGCTTATGCCATAGAAATTAAGCGCTTATGCCATAAAAACATTGGAACCCTTTGGAAATTCACAAAGCATCTGCACCAGAACCCTCCGGAACCTCACAAGGTATCTACACCGGAACCCTCCGGAACCTCACCAAGCATCTTCTCCCCCAAAACCCTCCAGAACCTCACAAGGTCTCTGCACCGGAACCCTCCGGAACCTCACCCGGCACCTCACCACGCATCTTCACCGAGACCCTCCGGAACCTCATCAGGTAGCTGCACCGGAAACTTCCGGAACCTCACCAGGTACCTGCACCGGAACCCTCCAGAACCGCACAGAACCCTCCGGAGCCTCAGCAGGGATCTTCACCGGAACCCTCCGGAACCTCACGAGGTACCCGCACCCCGCACCGGAACCCTCCGGAACCTCACGAGGTATCTGCACCAGAACCCTCCGGAACCTTCTCCGGAACCTTCTCCGGAACCCTGTTGAACCTGACTTGGCTTTGCACCAAGGCTTCCTGGAACCTTCTCCGGAAGCTTCTCCGCAAAGACCTCCGGAACCTTCTCTGGAACCCTGTTGAACGTGACCTGACTCTGCACCAAAGCCTCCCAGACCTTCTCCGGAACCTTCGGAACCTTCTCCGGAACCTCGTTGAACCTGACCCGGCGCCTGCACCAGTGCACACCGGAGCTATTCTGGGCTGAAGACCCCATTAGCTTACGCTGTTGGGGAAAAAACAGCCAACTACTGGCCACCAAGATATTGAAATATCCCCATGGGATCCACATTTCATCAGGTGCTGACAGGAATATGGCTATGGGTCAAAACCATGGTATTTTTTGGGAACATCACAATCATTGGCTTATGTATAAACGGATGTTTATGTTTATCCCCCTAAAAATTGGATTTATAGGCATTGATCCATAGCCATACATACAATATCATACAACTAGCTTTGTTTGTAAATTATCCCTGAAACAAACTGCGGCGTTGACACGAAACAATCTTTTGCTTTGGGGTGTTTGGGGTGGCAAGCCCAACTCTATGATATTACTATGACTCAAAAATTGTGTACCAGTGGAGCACAATTTGGTCATGTCCAGTGTTAAACCATCCAAGCTGTGGGGTCAATATCATTCAATATCATCTTTTCAGGAAACATCCCAAGAAATCAGCACCATAATTCCTTGAATTGTTCCAAGTTGGAGCAGGATGAACCATGAGACACCATTGTTTCCGAGGAGTCCCAATCTTGGGTTATGCCCCAAACTTGGGGACTTGGGGATCGCCCAAAAACCACCGTTCCGTTGGCAAAAATGAGGATCAACCATGGGATGTAAGGCTATCCTATTTTCAGATCCATGTGTGCCGCTGAATATACCTCTTCTTGCTGGTGAAATTCAGGTTTGTTCGTTGCAATTCCCTATTTACTTGGATTTGCCTGTGATAAAAACCTCCGGGTCAGGTGGCAATGGAGAGTTTGATGATTGACCTATTGAAAGCCGGCAAACTCCATTGCCATAGTAGATTCCCAGATGCCATCTCCCCATGTCTTTGCTTAAAATCCATATGTGTTTGTTGGCTGGAAAGTTCCGAAATTCTAAATGAATTCCTGCATTTACCATTGACAAAGATGGACGTGTCTGAAAATGGTGTACATCCCAAGAATGGTCATTCCGTACCATTTCGTGGGGAGAATTCTAGTTAAACATTTCAGCATATTTCAGCCACTGGATGGAATGGGGTCTCCTATTTGCAAACCCATGTGTGGCATGGTCAAAGGTCAAAAGGATAGTTTTTGTGACTCATGGTCATCCAACACACAATGGGAATTCGGGAATCCAAACATCATAGGTACCCTCTGGTAATGACTAACATAGCTATTGAAAATGGCCCAGTCGAAATAGTTGATTTACCCATTAAAAAGGCTAATTTTCCATAGTTTGTTGTATGTTTACCAGAGGTTTTCCAATACAAATCCCAATTTTTCAATGGATTGATTATCCCCATCCCACAAAACCCATCCATCATCCCCATTTTATGGTTTCTCCATATGGGGATGTCTTCATGGCACCCTGGTACCTTTTGGTGAACCCCAAGTCATAGCTGGGTTAAAATGGATGTGAATAACCCCCTAAAAATGGGATAAAAATAGGTATTGATCCATAGCCATATCCAACTTAATCCAACTTATAGATGGTTCGATATGTACTTGGTGTTTTCCGGTACCATGTCTGGTCTCAAAATCCAAAAAAATGTGTCCACTTAGATACGGCTGACCAAAACGATGACCATGGCATCACAATGAAAATTTTATGCTGAATATCCCATGGTTAATCTCCCAAGTTAATGGTTAGATCACAATATTGATGATTGACCGCATGGTTATAACATGGTTATCATATTAATGGTCAAACATCAAATGGTTTGATATACCAATATTGTGATTAATGGCTTGACCTCATGGTTATAATATTAATGGTCAAACATCTTTGATGAATCCAATTCATGGTCTATAGCATTCATGATGTCCATGAAAAAGGTTGGAAAACAATTCAAAAAAATTGCTTAAAAGTTGCTTTACCATTTTCATGTTGATTGATGATCATTAAATCCAGTTCATCCAATTTATTATATTTATTCCCATTAATCCACCATGAATCCACCATTCATCCACCGTTCCCATGTCTCCGAGTCACACGGCGCCAAAGGGCAGGATGCCCCCCACCAGCGAGGTGGCCAAGGGCTGCATGTAACACAGCCTAATTTTGACCGAGGGTCATAAGAGGTGAATAATATTATCTGTATAACAACCATATGTAACTAGATGGTTATGAGAATATGGTAACTATATGCAACTAGATGGTAACTATGAAAATATGGTAACCATATGAAACTAGATGGTAACTATGAAAATATGGTAACTATATGCAACTAGATGGTAACTATGAGAATATGGTAACTATATGTAACTAGATGGTAACTATGAGAATATGGTAACACTTGTAACTAGATGGTAACTATGAGAATATGGTAACTGTATGTAACTAGATGGTAACTATGAGAATATGGTAACTATATGTAGCTAGATGGTAACTATGATAATATGGTAAGTATGTGTAACTATGTATCTATTTAGTAGATATCACTTATGGTAACTATGAAAATATCCATATAATATATCCATATAATATATCAATATAATATATCCATATAATATATCCATATAATATATCCATATAATATATCCATATAATATATCCATATAATATATCCATATAATATATGCATATAATATATCCATATAATATATCCATATATATATATGTATCATGAATATATATATATATATCCATGATACATATATATATACATCATATATATATATATATATATCCATTATATATATGCATATATATTACATATAGTATTCATCATGGAATATCCATCATATGTATAACGATGTTAAATTTCATGTAATATCTGCGAATACCCATATATCTAAGCGTGAGAACATCCATATATTATCAATCATGGTGGTAAATAGTTATAGATATTGTAGCAATATCACTATTATGGTTTGTGTATTATAGTTGTCCTTAAAATAATGGTATTTGTGGTAATCACTGCATTATAAATTGTATGCATGTATAGCTACAATTGTATCCATCCTGAAGTAGATACAATATGTAAATAGAAATCTAAATGGGAATATGTTTGAAAAATCCATATTCTATCTACTTCATTCATAGCAAAGCACAAGTTCAAGATATAAAATTGTAAAATCCGATTCTGAAATTTAGTGGTGAACTCCTGAAATCGGCATCTTTTTTCGGGTTTGCTTTTGTCGTATACATGATATGTGATATGCATATGTAAAATTCAATCTGTATATGTACATATTTCAGCGAGGATGGCCCCCAATCAGGGTGGTTGAATGGTTGACCCATCCTCATACAATTCAATGACCGACATTAATGTACTTGCTAGCGGAGCAGAAGTGCTGTAGAGCAAGCCAACCAGAAATGAGGAAACAAGTGCCACAATAGTGGTTTCATCATGTTTCATCATCCCTGGAAAATGTGTGTCTTTGAAACCACAAAGCTGGTAGGGAACCAGTTGCTGTCACCAACTTCAGCACAAGTGGCACCCAGCCCCCATCGACCCAGCGGCTGTTCAGGGATTGCACGAGGAATCTGCAGCGCTGAAAGAAAGAAAGCGTGACTTCGCGAAACAAAAAAGGTCTTGAGACACACCAAGTTTGGCGAAAATTATGGAACACTTTTGATGATCAGAAATTATTAGGATTATTACGGGAGGATTGACTCTATACCTAATATATAATCCCAACACTTGTTTCTAGTTCCAAAGCTGAAAAGCGGAGACGCGCCTGGTTCGTCCGGACAGGCAGCTCAATTCGGTCCTTCCTGAATCCTGCGCATGAAGCTTGGTGAGAGCTGACAAATCCCTGGCCCCTTCAGTTCGATGTAGCTCCAAAAAAGAGTGGCACCGGAAACCGCTGCACTTCGGTGCTCCTGTGTAAGCCCCAAAGAACACCAATGGCACTGAAACTCCAAACCTCGGCATCTCATGAAAAATGAAGTACCAATCAAAAAAAAACATATTTTTGGCTCAGTTTCAGTGCTAAAAAGTGATTTGGGCTGCAGTTCTCCCAGGACGGTTCCACGCAAAGTTCCACCCCCAGTCATTGGGGACATAGTTCATGATGTCATTCCGTTGTATCGTGGTGAAAATGGTGATTCCCAGTTCATGGATTATGATATTCCCCAGATAAAAGATAAAAGGCTAGTATACCCTCTGGTAAACCAACATAGCTATTGAAAATTGCCATTTATAGTGAGTTTTCCCACGAAAAATGGTGATTTTCCATAGTTATGTTATGTTAGTTTACCAGAGGGTAACTGTGTTAGCCAAGAAAAGACATGAACCAGCAGGGGTGACTTGCAACCTTCTGGCGCCAGGATGCTTGCGGAGTCTCCCAACTTCAGCCAGCTTCCCATGGGTCAAAATCCAGCATCCCCACTGCGGTCCCCAACCACAGGACCAAAATGGCGAAGAGGGTGGTGAAAGGAACAGCTCCCGAGGACTGGCAAAAAGGACTTCAAAACACACGGAATTGGATGAAGGAAAATGTTGGGCAAAATACTTACATCAAAATACAAGCGATGGTTTGGTATACCATGCCATGCATCATTTTTTTTAACCAATTGGTTGCAAAAATCCAGGACTACCCGGTCTATGAATCAACCAGCCAGTCTGATTGGTTGTTCCGTGGGGGCTTACCCCCTCTGTATGAATCAAACAAACAGGTGGGAGGAAACAAAAACTGTACGTTTGGAGCAATTTTGAAGGTGAATGTTGGCGATGTACCATATAAGCATTTGGATAAATCACCCAAAGACTGTGTGTCCATGCAAACCAATCCGACAAACTTGTAAGGTTTCCAGAAGCGCAATAGGTCTTCCCGACCTTTGGATATAGCCACATTCAAAAGGTGATTTGCGATCCAAGAAATAATGTTATATCTATATAATATATATATAATGTAATGCGATGCACTGCAATGTAATGTATTCTATTCTATTCTGTTCTATTCTAGTGTAAGGTAAGGTAAGATAGGGTAAGGTATGGGTAGGGTACGGTATGTATGCATGCATGTATGTATCTATGTATGTGTATATTTAATAGATTGTCATGTTATTCAATGTTGCATTATAATCGCCATCTAGCATGTTATATAAGTTCATAGTATATTGTATTGTATGATATCACATTGTCTCGCATCACATTAGGTCATATCATGTCAAATCATATCAGATCATTCATATAATGTTGTATCATACCATATTTACAGTATTGTATATATAGTATTGCATTCTATTTTGGTTTAGTGCTGGTTTACAAGTTTACATTGAATGCAACATGCGTTATCATACTATACAATACTATATGAAACTAGATCATAATATACTATACTGACTATACTACATCATATCGTAATGGATTATAGTTATAGAGTTATAGTCGTTATAGTCATTCACAAGGTCCCGAACCAACCTTTATATCATCCGCGCCTTTTGGCCCCAAATGCACAAGTTCAGCAGGAAGAAGATGCCAAAAAAGAGACCTACGCAGCGCGGGCGGTCGCCGTTTCCTTTTCGGAAACCCCCCGATGCGTCCGACGGCGGTCCCGCCTGGGACCAAAAAGGCCTGCAACATGGTGGTGGTCTTCCATCGTCCTTCATCGCCATCAAAGACCTGGCAACTGAAAATGACACTTTTGAATGACCGGTATAGAAAACTGACCAGAGAAAAATAACCTAACTTGCCTCAAAACCATTTGGGGATATATATATATACCTATATCATGTGACTTGCCCAAAAACCATTTAGGATAAACCCCAACATTCAAGAGGACTAGGCATCTCTCTGTCAACAGCACCTTTGATGGGATCAGGTGACAGCAGTATCCATGCCAGCAAGTTTCTCAGGAAGTCATCTATGGATGTGTTGCTCTGGTGAAACACCCTGCGGTTGAGATCTCCACCATTGACAAAAGTCTACCCTTCATAGCCTGGATCAGCTCCAATCTTTTTAATGATTGGTTTTGGAGGTGATCTTCAGCAATTCCAGATATTCTGGGTAAAACAATGCCATAAACCAGCCATGACTGGGAATGGTTTATACCATTTCTTGTGATTTGGGGGATGGCTTATGGCATAGGTTTTACCCACATGGAGGTGTCCTAAAATAGGGGTACCCAGTCATCATCTATTCTACTCGGATTTTCCATGACAAATCATCCATTTGGAGAACCCCTATTTTAGGAAACCGCCACATTACTGGATTCCGGACATATTCCGTCTGGATTCACCGTCCGGCGTTCACCGCCTTACAGAGTCTTGCCGCGGTGTAACCTCCCAGCACCCCCATCAACGTAAAGAGGAGCATCATGGACTGCAAAAGGCCTGGGCCACTTTTTCTGGATGGGGCTACCACACAAACATGCTAGGATGTTTTCATGTGATACCACCAAAGATTTTTTTGTGGTTCTAGCAAAATCCACTATTTCAATTCGGTGGTACCACCAAAATCCACCATTTCAACTTCTGGTGGTTCCAAAGAAATTGTTTGCCACCAAAATTTACTTCTGCTGTTTCTTTGGCTAGGGAGCGATGATTGTGTCTTCCCCCATGTTGAGACATTCCCACATCTCACTCCCAACATGAAAATCCACGAGTTGAAAAGGTTGTGAACAATCTGTGGCAGTCACTTATATACCCTCAGATTTTCTGATGGGCTTAGAATATCACTGGCACTTACTGTCTGGTAATCTAATAGATCGCCATGTTTCGTGGAATATGTCTAAAAAAATTGGAAACCCAGCCATCCCAGAAATCTCCAGGTGTTAAACCCCCTCGAGGTACCAGACTTCCTCTCTGTGCAGGTGATAGGAATCCCAAGAGGGCAAAGATCAGGGTCACCTAATGGCGCGTTGCGTTAAGGGAAAACGCATAAATCTCATGGGGATTTCATGGAATTTCATGGACTAGCGGAGATGAATGGGATATTTCATAACTCATCAACAAAATTGCTGGAACAAAAAGCTATAAATCTGGAACCATGAAGAGAAGCCACTGGATTTGGGTGATTTTGGGTGGGCTTCCCCCAATTTTTTCTCCCAAATTACCATCTGATGGTTGCGTCCAAAAAAGATGGTCAACATCCACATGTTGCGAGTTTCATCTCCAAACTCTTCCCAACCCCCTCAAGGCTCCCAACCACCGACATGCCCAGCAGTTGCATGCCGGAGCCCGCCATCACCGACAGGAAGGTGCTGTAGTTGGGCTTTCGGAAGACATCCCCGTGTACCAGTTTCCAGCCTCGGGCGTATGGCGCGAAGAAGACATTTCTGGAGCTCTTGGGTCTTTGGAGATTGGTTGGGAAAAGAAATCACATTCATCTTTGCACTGACCCTGTTGCCTCTTCACATCCACTTCTGGATGAGATCCTTTCGAAGCACCAGCCAAAAACAAAGTGGCAATCTGCGGTGACAATCACCGTCGCCATCATCATCATCATCATCATCATCATGCTAGTGCTCGCGCTCATGTTTATCCTCGTCAATGTCATCAACCTCCTCTTCTTCCATCCGGACGATGTCCAACTTGCGTACAACTCATCAAGAATGAATTGGGGATGTTATGGTGATTCCTATGGATATGGACCCGCATTTTTTTTTTCGATCCAAAGCAATCTTTGAAAGCCATGAAGAATTGACATTGACGAAACATCACAAAACTGCTAAAATGGTGATGTTTCTAATCCCAACATGAAACATCAATCTTGATGGTTCCCAAGGCTCAATATTCAACAGCGTTTCTCAGCTCCCCCACCTGTTTCCTCTTTGGCCTCTTCCTCCGTGGGTACCTCTGCATGGTTCACCAAACACTCGGATGCAAGTCAGCGGAGAAAAACATGGGACGAATGATGTAGGCAACAAAACGTTTGGAAATTAAAAACGCAAAGATGTCGATGCTGCACAGAATTGTACAGAACTATACAATAGAAAGCAAACATGGCTCAAGTTTTGGAGTGTTCACGCAGTTTGGCACCAGTTCACGCAGTTTGGCACCATCATAATTTCCGGGCCCAAATTGTTGCGGAGCAGGCATCACTGCCACTAGATAGTAGATTGGCACACCGGCCCCGTTGGCTCCGGCGCCTGATTGTAGGTCGCGATATCTCTGTGCAAGGTCCGCAACAAGATCATGGCCACCATCCCGGACCTTTTCGAAAAAACGCTGAGGGTTGGCACCAAATGCTTCGTCTTCCTAAAATGCCCTTGAAAAAATGAGGGAACCCCATGGAGGTAATCCCCCTGGAAGTAATCCCACTATTTATCGATGTCTCAAATCCCCAGGTCCCCAGGTCTGGTCACAGTTAGCTTCACCGATCCCAGTGGTGAGTTTTTGGTCAGAAACCAATCCCAGCCAAGACACAGAAAGACCAAGATCAAGAGCGAATTCAAAATCGCGAACCAATGGATCTGCCCCTGCCCCTGCCTAAGCCCGGCTGAAGTTCGAACCCTGCTGACCAAGAACATGGGGATGTGACGGATGTGACGAAACGTGTGAATGCTCCTTGAAAATAGTGGACACCGATCATCCGTTTTTTTTGCCATGTGATGGCACATGCCTAGCCTGTATATGCAAATGTGTGCGAAAATCAAAAAAATAACAACTACATGCCAAAAATCTCACATCAAATTATTCCGGCAAGAGACCCCAAACAGTGTGGGGGGTAGGAAGTCAATGTGCCAGATACAAGCACATAAGGTTCGACATTATCGTCACTGCAGCAGCAGGACCTTGTTTCGGCCCAAGAAGCAACGCTATGTCTAGTCTAGTCATCAAGACCTCATAGCAGAGCCTCATACCAGGGCATCTAAGAAACTTTCAAAGATCATCAAAGAAGGACCTTCTAGATAGAGGATCTCACAAGATTTTCATACAAGAACTTCCTTTGACCATCCCAGAAGAACTTCAAGCACCAATGCAGAGCATCTTCAAGAGCTTAATGGAAGGAGCTCTTGAGGAGGATTTCAATAGGATCTCCACAAGATCTTCTCACAAGGACCCGTGCAAGATCATGCAAGGACCCCTTAGAGGATGTGAGCAGAATCTGCACACGGTGGCAAAATGTCGTCAAAATTCACCAAATACTGCGCCTGCGACGGAAAATAACCTCCAGCAAATCTCATTTTGACCCATGCCTGCCAACGTTTTAGCAACGTGCAGAAAGTGCCACGCCTGCCACGCGGATGAGAAAGTATGAAATGTCCCACGCCTGCCACACAAAATGGACATAGCTCAAAAACAAACGAGCACAGCATAGTAGAGGGACACCTTCGGAAAGGAGCAAAACGGGACAACCGTTTGGTGCGAGCCTGCGCGGTCAAAATGCGCATGGACATCTCACAAAGTTTCACAAGGGAACTTTTATGCTAGAATTTACAGGTCAGATGGAGCACCCTGATCCATCCCTGGCCTTTTAACCCTTACCGGCTAACCGTAAGAACCCCTCAGTGTGGACACATTGTTTGGGCAAACCGGCCCTTGTGCATCCTTGGGCCCCAGACACTTTCAGGTATGCATCCCAGCGTGAGGCCCAGCCTGGTATGAGCTTGGCAGAACCGTAAAGAAATGTACCCTCTGGTAATTTAACGTAGCTATTGAAAATGGCCATTTATAGTGGATTTACCCATGAAAAATGGTGATTTTCCATGGTTTTCCATAGTTACGTTAGTTTACCAGAGGGTAAAGCTTTTGGTGGCTGCCTCTTTAGCTGTGTCTGATTTTTCTGTCTTGCTTCTGGCTGTTCTGTTTCATTTGTGTGCATTCTTACAAGAACATCTTCCAAAGCAACATCTTGGGCTTCCGTTACTTCCAGACTTACTTTACCTAACATTCGCGGGATCCCAATCCCCCAATCCCCCACTCTCCCGCCCCGGTAGGGCTCCGGCGGACTTGACTTTCCTTCCAGGAGACAGTGTAGCTGAACCTGGAAGGACTTCACTTTTTGGCCCCGAAAAAACATGGCCTGTCACTTTTTTGGGTTGGAGGGTGACGTTCTCGTGTTTTTAATTAGCCACGAAAACCCTGGAGTTCCTCCTGTCTTGCCAAAAAATGTGCTGAGATCATCTAACCCCGTAAAGATGATGACTGAACAATTGCTGACAAGCATTTGTTTTCCGGGCCTGAAAAATTGTGACAGCCGAGACGATCTTGACTGTTTACCCATGGTCTTGTTGTTCCAAAAAAAGGGGGCATCTGTTTGGTGAGAGCTGGAGAAGCCCGCTGTGATATAGGACCCTACCAGCTACACTTGGGTTTGTGAGTCCTTTTTCCCCAGGTGGGTATCGAAAAATGGCGGCCTTTATAGCACCATCCAATGGCAATGTTCATGGGGGGAAACTATGATAGACGACTGAATCTTAGGGCCTTAGCAGTTGACCAAGAACCCCAGGTCCCAACATGTCCCAACGAGACTCCCGACATCACTTCGTCCGTGGAATCCAGATCGAAGGGGGTTGGCTTCTCCGAACAATCCGGCTGCCCATCCTTCCTGGCACATGGCCGGCTGGGATTCGGCTGATTCCCAAGTCGACTGGGTCAATTCTTCCAAAAAAAAATGCAGAGAGGTAAACAAACATAACTATGGGAAATCACCATTTTCAATGGGAAGATCCACTATAAATGGGTCATTTTCAATAGCTATGATGCTTTTCGGTAGAAATTGATTGCATCAAATCGATGTGAAAAGGCGGATTCCTGGTGCAGATTGTCCGCCCGAAGCCATGAAAAACATATGTATTTACGGGCAGAAATCATCATTACATGCAACCCGGCACCCAACAAAAAATCTAAACACCTGGAGACGAGCCAGGAACTATCCAGTCGACAAGAATGTGCACAAATTTTGGTCCGGTGACATCAAGCATGGCTCTGAAATCTCCCATACATGGGCATCTAATGGCATCTATAACCAAAAAAACAATCGAACTGGGCTCGAAATGCGTGAATATCCAGCGAGCCGAGTTTGATTACCAGAGGCTAACTCCAACAACTGCGCGTAAAAAAATCGTGAACTGCTAACGGCTTTTCTGCTAACGGCCAGCAAGTTTGGCCACTCATGGTTTCTGGGCAAATCCTGAGCTGGGTCCTGCCGTCCTGCCCCCAAACCATGTTGCTTCAACAAGAGCTAAGAATCTATTGACAAATGGTCAGTCAATGGGGATTGCCATGAAGTGTGATCATCCCGAGCATATTGAGCAGCATGACCCCCTAGTGCCCCATAGTTCGCCAAGTTGGTTTAGACTTAGTCTGACCAGAGTTCAATGGTAATGAAAATAGTATTAAGTAGAGTTGGACATCGTTTTTTCATCAACTTTTAACTAGGGACACCATCTTGAATAATCTTCAACCAACATTTTAATGGTGGAATTAACAGGGACCCCCAATGATGGGACCCCCGTAGCTTGTGGGGATGGGGGTCCCATCAGTTGGGGGGTCACTAATGAATTCCATGGATTTTGACTCACCGTTTTCGGCAGGTGTTGGCCCAATCCAGCCGGTGCGACGGTGTGGCAGAGCGTGGTTCTACCTGGCACTCTCGCTATTCCAGCAGGAGAAAAGGATCCAAAAAATGGTGTTATAGCAATTTCATGGGGATTTAATTCAATTTATATAATTGGATTTAATGGACTATAAGTAGGGGAGATACACTGGCATATAATAAGTAATCAACAAGATGATTTGGGGTGTGTCTGAACATGGGGTTTGCCACAATATATTACCATTTTCATCCAGCAGATGATGGTAAACTTTCAAATTTCAGGGAGTAGCCTATTTCATGCACCTCGAAATTCATCGGAATTTCTCTGAGAATACTCGAGCACCTGGTTTTCTAATCCATCTGTTTCAATGGAAGTGCCATAACCTGCCATGGTTCCCCTTGATTTGCGACATCCGATTCTGGCCTCGAAGCCCACAATGCGATAGCCCACGTACAACTCCGGGTTGGAATGGAAGTGCAATTCCTGGCGCTAACGCAATCGCACAGTGTCTCTACTATTCTCACGGAAAATGGAGACTAGGTCATTCGCTAGTCATAGGTCAGATTTTTTGCATTGGATTATGTGTCTGCTCATTGAATTGGTGTATCACTGCATTGTACGTCTTGTCCTGCTGTGGCTCATAGATTTGAAACAATCAACACTTAGAAGTTATCGCTTTCCGTCCTGCAAACGACCTCCACAAAACATTGAATGGCCTCTCAAAAAACCAAGCATTAAAATATACCATCTGGTTATTTAACATAGCCATGGAAAATGATTTTATAGATGGTTTACCTATTAAAAAAAATGTGATTTTCCATGGCTATGTTAAATAACCACAGGGTAGATGTAAACCCTATTTCAAAATCAAATTCCAACTTTAGCCACCTCCTCAGTCCCTCCCGCTCCAGCGTCACGTGGTTGTGCAGGAAGTATTTGCCATTTTGCGGCAAACCAACCAGGATGCCATTGGTGAACTTGTCATCCGACCCTTTGATGCAGGACTGGTAGTCAGGTCCCAAACTCCATTGGTCCATGGCCACAGTGATGGTGATTTTTTATCGTTTATATCCACTTATAACTGGAAGTGCACTCCCAATATATATATATAATATATATATAATTTATCACAAAATATGATGAAGAGGCACTCGATTTGGGAAGAGCTTGACTGGAATCTTTGCCTTGGTGAGGGTCAAAACTGTTCGTACCCTTTTCTATCTGGATTTGTGTGAAAATAGGGTGCCCCAAAACTTGATGCAAGAAAAAACATGGATTTCCCCCTATTTCAATGACCATAGATTGAGCTATCTATATATATATATATCATATCATATCATATCAGATCATATCATATCTCCCCTATTTTCAGACGCCAGGCCGCATCACCATCGCATTGTCGCCCCGAGAGCAACTCAACTAGCTGTGGATGGTTCAACTAGTTTTTTACCATCCCCCAGTCCTCACCATAGATAGGTGGTATGTTTACCATTCCCAGTCATGGCGTAGACATGGCATTGTTTTAACCACATCAATGTGTTTATACAATTTTATACAAGGTTCATCTACAATCCCCCAGAAATGATTCGGCCTGTCTGACGATATCTGGTGGTGGCCGGCAGGTTGTCCACGATCCAGTTCACAAGATATTCGTCCGCAATCATGTTGCGAAATCGGTCCTGAACGTAGAACTCTTGGTCCAAATCAACGGTATCCAGTGGTTTTGCTGATGGGCTGTCGATTGGGAGAGTAACACCAGCAGTGCCCCCGCTATAGAGGAGGCATTCAAAGCAACCCCAAACCACGTTTTTAGAAACCCCAAAATTCACCCCTTTTGGGGGTTGCCTGCAGCCCTGCTGTGAAAAACATGGGAATTGTTAAATGAGATTATTGTATTCTTATTATACAAATGCCAGCTGCCCAACCTGGTTTAAATTATATAACTCCAAATTCACGGTTCCTCAAGATGCAATGAACAATCATTGAGTTTGGTCGGCCATGCTGACCAAAAAAGACCGACACATCCTGCGGGTCCTTCTCCTCCTTCTTCAAAGTCTTTTTGCATAGCATCTCGCATGGCTTGTCCTCCAGCATGTTTATCTTGTAAGCAGATGTCCTAGGCTTTCACAGCTGGTTGGGCGACTGTGGCTTTAAAATAATAGTAATAATAGTAGTAATAATAATAATATATAATAGCAATAATAGTAATGGTAATAATAGCAATAATAGTAATCATAGTAAAATATAATATTAATAATAGTGACAGTAGTAACAGTAAAACTTCATCCGTGCTTTGTCAAGATAAGGTGGACCCATACAAGCCATCAGCTACATTAAAGCCATCAGCTTGTTTGCATTGTTTAGGTCCCAATCAAGGGTCTCCACGCATATTTCTGGAAACACCTGCTTTGCAGCCATTTTTGCAGATCCATAGCAACCCTGCCACAAAAAGGCAGTCACAACAACAGCACCACCACCACCACCACCACCACCTACTACTACTACTACCACTACTACTACTACTACTAACTACTACTACTAACTACTACTACTACTACTACTACTACTACAGCAACAACAACAACAAAAGTTGAAAAACGCAGAAAAAAAAACGGTTTCCAAAGTCTGCTTTTGGATCCAAGGCACTCTATGACGTCGCCCATCATCTGCTCTCCGAGGTTTTCGGTCACCGCTGGCTTCGCACCGCCCTCTGGCCTCACACCCACCAAGCTGCCAAATTGATGGGAATCCTTACAGGTTAACCATCAACCATCCATAGGTATGATCAATTTCTCCAATTCTTGGGATCAGAAACTCTCCATTTTCCCATTTTCAGGGGTAGTTCATTTTGACACACATCCACATGAAAACACTAGAGGTAGTTTTTGAATTCCGCACCATTCGCATCCTGAAACAGCAGCATTTTACACATGTTTCAATGGAAACTCACAGTTGCAACGAGACAAGGGACTCACAGAAGGCCAGGTGGTAGTAGCTGTAGGGCAACTGCGTCTTTGCCGAGGTCAATTTATTCACTTTCATCTCCACGGCTTCTGTCTGCTTGTACTCCTGCGGAGTTGACCCCTCGTGACCCAATCATAGCCGGCCGCCCGGCTGTTGGTTAAGCCGTCCCGTTACCATGACCATTCGGGCGGGGGAGCCCTGGGGCCCTGGGGCCCCCTGGGGCCCCCGGCCATCGGGGCAAGCCCTGGCAAGTAGAAAGCCTCTGCGGCAGCCCATGCACCTGGCAGCTCCGGCGATGGGATGACCCTGCTCGGCCCAGCTCGGTCGCCATGGCCATGGCAAATGGCTGGAGCTGATATGATGAAGGGAGACCTACTGGTGCGTTTTACGTAGGAAATGGAGTTGCTGGGGGTTGCTGGGATGATGACATTACTAGTGATGAAATGGATCATTCCCGAAAATTCCCTACTAAGCACCAGTAAGGAGAGGCAGTTGGATAATTTATCATTCCACGTCAGTGTAAGCGCAGAACTGGTGACCCAATCGTAAGGGCTGGCTCTAGTCGGACTTGCGTGTAGAATCAAAAATGGGAAGTGGAAAGAAAAACACAAGCGAAAAAGGGGGCACCTGCCAAAACAGGAGCTGACAAGGATGGGATATACAGGCTGATCAACACAAGAAACAGCGCAGTTCATAAAATCGAGAAACACAAGCCAATGAAAATTGGAACCAGCCAAACCGGCGAAAACAGGAATCAACAAAAATGGGAAACGCCACCGGTTCTTCAGCCGAGTCCTCGCTCTATAAATGAAGCAGCATCCACTGGGGAACCAGACAAAACCAAATTCGATGAGCCATGGCCTGTTTGCTGCAAAAATCGGAAAAGGCTGGGGCTTTTACAGCAGATTTCTAAACAGATTGCACAATATATGTCTACATGTATGTGTTACATCTATGTGCATCTGTATATATGTATATATATATATGTATGTATATATATATATACATATATATATATATATACATATATATATATACATATATATATATATACATATATATATGTATATATGCATTGCATCGTGTTCTGAGAATTGCTGAGGGCACTCATTGATGCAATGGGAATTCCACCAGTCCCAGGTCATGCTGGAAACATGAATCTCTATGGGGGATGTATGACCCTCTTTCATGTGGCTATGTGGTGTATGTGTCTACATATACATATAGATATACATATATATATACACAATGTTATTTATGTATATATATATATACGTTATATATATAATATTATTATCATTATATAATATTATAGATATATCTAATCTATATATAACCAGTGCAGTAAACCACAGTTTGACTGCGCATACACCCCTTCTTTGCTGCTGCGATGGTGTCCAAGTCATTCTCCCCAGCCCTTCTCCCCAGATGCCCAGTTGTGAGACCAAGCCACGCCACGCCAGGTGCACAACTGGTCGCTGACCCCCCTGGTGGCCACCCAGTGGTCCCCACTTTACTGAGCCAAGGCTGGTCCGAGAAAGGCATCCGAAATCCTGGGATTCTGCAGATTCCCTGGTCCGACCGATTCACCGTCCTGACTCGGTCGCTTTTTTTTCAGCCTATCGCCACCTTCGAGAGCTATTGCTGTTTACAATTCAGCAGCAAAGGGTGGAGGTCGACACCTCAGGTTTTTTGAGATACCGAGTTCTCCGCAAAATGCGCAGCTGAGCAACAAAGATGTTAGGATGTTAACCGCGGGGATTCCAGATGTGCCATGGTCAAGACACAGTCTATGGGGTATGGTCATCTATCCCATATGAATCCAAACAACATTTGCTTAAAACAAAACATACAAAAACTATGAATGGATTCATGGCCACCCCCGAAATCATGGGCATTTGGAATTATATAACATTATATAACTAATCCATGTAACTCAACATTTTGACCATGGCACCTAGTGGCTGTTGGTTTTTGATTGTTTTTGGCCCATGCCAAATGACCAATTTCTGATGCTCAGCCACAGCTTGAGACCACTTGGAGCGTTCCTCAGAGCCAACTGCACCACGACTTTGCAGATCTCTAAGCGCCTTGCCATTGTTAAATATGGCCTGTGGTACCCTACTTGAATGGTCATTTTGAATAGGATAGGAAACCATGGGAAACCATAGGACCCCATAGGTTAAATGGTGATTTAAGTATGTGAAGCATCAAAAATAGGCCGTCCACCAATGAATAGTGGCTATGGCTGTGTCTAAAGATGCTGGATTGAACTTGATTGAACAGCCAAATAGCCAGATTCATGGGGAAAACAATGATGAGCCGCGTGGGCTGAGGGGCATCCAATTTTCAGACAAAGCCGCATCTGATTTTTTTGGTCTTTGGAGACCATGCTCTTGAGGTGTATCTTGACCAACTGTATGTTTGGAAAACCTATCACCAATCCCAACCAAGTGCCATGAATTGTGTTCACTCACCTCGTTGGTTTTTTGTGGCCAAAAATGTTGTGATTTCCACATCCCAAGTCTTATGAGCTGCATCCCACTGTTTGATGATTCGCCACGATCCCCTTGGTTCGAAGTCCTCATCGCAGCAAACCCGCTATGTCTTGGCCACAAAGATCAGTCGTTTCTTGCCTTGGCAAGCTGAACTTGGAGACCGGCCCGCACCTCGCACATTTGCGCTGAACTGTGTTAGCTCTCTCATGCACAAGCAGCGTCGCTACGAGCTCTCTTTGAGGAAGCGCTTGTCAGAAGCGCCAGGCCACTGGGTTGGAGAAACGAAACCGCATTTTTTGCTTCGGCTTGAAAGATGGAGATCGGAGAAAATGGCGATGACGTGAATTGCTTGGATTCTTCTCGCCATCTCATGATCTCTTCACACCTTGCAGCTTTCTCCAAGTGTGTAGACCATCTCTCCCAACCCAGTGGAACAGTTCTGCAATAAGGCGCCAGTTGGAAGTGGAGATTTTCCAACACATGAGTCACTTGAAAAATGCACAAACAACTGAAGAAAAAATGCAAAATGGCCTTGGCTCTGAAGCTTGTTGTTTTATCTCTCCACCACCAACTGCCACACTACCGCCTGCTAAGCACAACTCCTCGATTCGGACAGGAAAATTGGCTGAAAACATAATTCCCACGATTCGCAATCAGAGGCGGAGATTGAAATGCTGGCAGTGCAGAATCCTGGCTCAAATGGTTCAGCATATACAGTTACTTGGTTCAACATGCTCAAATGCCCAATCACTGGGTATCACTAACAAGATGTTCGAGCAGAATGTCTCACCTCTTAAGTGCTGCCCCGACCATAGTAGTGTCTCTGAGAAATTTAACAGCTGCCCAGAAATCGGGCCCCTATCGTCATTGATTTTCTCCTGACTTGGTTCCTGACAATTTTTGGGTCGATCTCAAGCCTTTGATGCGGCCGTTCGGCGAAGCTTTCCTGTGATCAGACTTCAAACGGCCCAATTCTCAATGTATTAAGGCCTGACCGGGAGACTTCTAAACGTGGGAAAATTGGAAAGCGGTTAGAAATTGATGCCAGATCTTGCGCCAAAACAAAACTCTTCTCCAGGTCAAGCTTGGAACGCAAGCTGCGGATGGCGAAGGTCGTAGCGGACCGAAGGTCGTTGTTTCTATACTTGCTGGTTGTTCGGTGTTGTGTTTGGTTTTGTTTAATACGTTCGACACAATACAAAGATATACAAAGTCTCTTCCAATAGGGGTCCATATAGGAATCCTCTTCATCCATGGTTTCACTGCAAGTTGTCGTGAGGTCATCAACTTTGAATGCATGACTCTGTCATTCTGGACGACTCTCCGATGCTGGAGATGGTGGGAAATGTGGAACGTTCCACTCCAGGATGGTCGATGGTCAGTGATCTTTTGTCAAACCTTCACTGAATCTCCGCCTTCGAATTCAGCGGCTTCGGCCAAGCCCAGCCCCTTGGCAGGGCCAATGGGCCCAATTCGCCACGCCCTCAACGGCGCACGTCGGAGCGACGCATCTCCCGTACCACCTGCGGATGAGAAGAGGTCAACGGGCATGTGGTCGTGTTAACCAACAGAAATATGGTTTTGCAAGTTATTACGGTTTTTTTTAACTAGCAAAAAGGGTGGTGTTTTTCATCAACAAGGTTGAGATCTGATCTACTTATATATATATTATATATATATATACATACTTGAAGCGGGGATATGATCGGCAAAACACAGCCGTCAATGGTCAATTCATGACAGTTCCGCAAATATCGGTGGTGCCGGATACAGTATGATGATCAAAACATTCCAACGATGATTCGGATATACCATCTGGTTATTTAACATAGCCATGGAAAATCACCATTTTTAATAGGTAAACCATCTATAAATGGGCCATTTTCCATGGCTATGTTAAATAACCAGAGGGTATTGTACTGTGCTCCTTATGTTTGACTGACAAAAACCATCAACTTAAAACCAGCACAATGCAAATCTACGGCCACAAAAAGATCTGCTTCATTCTGTTTCTAGCGATTTTATGTCATTTTAGCTGTCAAACCCAGATTCCATAGGCTCGGGCCAGACTCAAAGATGGGTGCTACCGGGCTCCATGAGCTCACCGGCCGTTTCAGGTAGCGAAAAAGGAGCGACCTACCACATGGAATTTTTGGCTGTGGTGACCATCCATTTAGTAAATTTAGGCTCATAGATTTACTTTAGAAATCATCTAGATCCTGTAGAAATCTAGAAATCATCATCAATGTCCTCATGGGAGAAGAAATGATAGCGATTCCATGCGATTTTTCGCTGAGAGACGAAGCTTCCACAGTGATGATGAGCCAAGTCAGCCAGGTCAGCAGGATCTTTCCTGGCGAAGTCCATGGTAAGCCTGGTAAGCTATGGATGGCTATGGATGGCTCTAATTTTTTCCATAGGGATGCATCGGGATGGATGAAAACTTAGAGTAAAATCAGATGTTTTCATGAATTGAGCGTAAGGTCTTGGGGATGAACATTCATAAAATATCACAAAATCCCAGCTATGCTGTGGATACTCAGGGCATTCCATCGGTTTTCAGTGGGGTTTCCCCCAGTCCATTCAGCCATACCATGAGGCGGCGCGAGTTGACTTCGGACCTGTGGAACCACCACACCAGAACCTCTGGAACCCCCCGGAAGCCGCACCGAACCTTTATCTGGGCTGAGCCCCTAGCATATGCTGTAGGGGAACAATTGGAGATGAAAATTGCCCGAGAATCTGTACAGGTTGTGAGATAAAGCTAAGTGACTCCAAAGCTAAGGCTGAGCCTGCGGGCCCAGCTCTGGTCCCACCCGCCTGATGGCTTGAACCAGCTGCTGCCTGGCAGAGTTATTGCAGATATCTTCCTTAAGCCACCAGAGCTCCAGCGTTGCAATTCCGTTCTGTTTTTTCGGGTTCAGCCAAAAAACGATTCACCACTCCCAGAACTAGAGATTTTTCAACAGTAAAGATATACAAACATCAATCAATTCAAAACCCTGGAAAATGAACCATTTTGGATCTGAAATTACTCAGGTGCTATCCCCAACAGCTTGAAAGCTTCTGCGTGTTTGCCATAAAAAGTGCTTATGCCATAAAAATCAAGTGCTTATGCCATAGAAATTAAGTGCTTATGCCATAAAAAAACATCGGAACCCTTTGGAATTTCACAAAGCATCTGCACCAGAACCCTCCGGAACCTCACAAGGTATCTGCACCGAAACCTTCCGGAACCTCACAAGGTCTCTGCACCGGAACCTTCCGGACCTCACAAAGTATCTGCCCCGGAACCCTCCGGAACCTCACCACACATCTTCACCTAGACCCTCCGGAACCTCATCAAGTAGCTGCACCGGAAACTTCCGGAACCTCTCCAGGTACCTGCACCAAAACCCTCTAGAACCTAACCAAGTATCTGCACCGTAACCCTCCGGAACCTCACCGAGTACCTGCACCAGAAACTTCTGGAACCTCACAAGGTATCTGCACCGGAACCCTCCAGAACCTCACAAGGTCTCTGCACCGGAACGCTCCGGAACCGCACAGAACCCTCCGTAGCCTCAGCAGGTATCTTCACCGGAACCCTCCGGAACCTCAGCAGGTATCTTCACCGGAACCCTCCGGAACCTCAGCAGGTATCTTCACCGGAACCCTCCGGAACCTTGTCCGGAACCTGGTGTTGAAGCTGCACCAGATCGCACCGAAGCTAATCTGGGCTAAAGAATGCTAAAGACCCCATAGCAAAGTTTTACTGTTTAAAAAAAAAAAACTGATCCTCTGAAATCCTCCAGTTTTGCGGCGCCGCCTGTCTTCTGCTGCGCTGTGCTTCAGCGCGCAGCGTACCACGTGACTGGCCACGCGATGACGTGCCAGGCGCTGGAGGTCCTGTTGGATCACCTCGACGATGTGATGCTTCTGCTGGGCCGTCCTGGGATCGTCCCAGAGTGAGTCACCCAGGGTGAGTCCGGGTCTGAAAACCCAAAAATTCAAGGCTTACTGCGATTAATCTGCGATTATCATTGGATTCTGTTCAACAAAACTGCCAAACTTTCAGGCTTGCTACCCCTGCTACCCAGATACGTTTTGGTGGCAGTGATTTACCTGTAAAACTGGTTGGGTTGAATACCCTACTCTATGGTTTATAGGGTATGGTCATCTCACTCAAACTTGGGGGAATGATTCCCTGCATACTGGGCAGAAAAATTATAAACCCCTATTTTCATGATGACTTTTGGAAAAAAAGGGATTGTCCGAAAATGGGGCACCCCCTAAATTCCAATGTTTCTCATCATGTTCCCTCTTATTTGATGGCCATTTTCCTTGGTATTCCCCATTTTCAGACACGTGGAGGTTTCCTAAAATATGGGTACACCCCAATGGTTTTCCCATTGACAAAAGACAATAACCTGAATTTTGGGGTACCCTCATCCCAGGGCTCAAGGCTCCCATGCTCCAAGACGTGCTGCACCACAAAGTTCCCGAAGGTATGGCGACAGAGTTGTGGTGCCCCGGCAAGGACCTGAGACCGGCCGAAATTACGGGTGCTTTTGTCACATGATGGGCATCTGATTTTTGGATATTTTTGGGGGAACGTGAGAAGGAAATTGGGCTGATACTCTGAGAGCTATCTGGTGTCGATTCATTGTGGGGAGAACTGGGGGACAGCAATTGACAAAAATGCGTGAAATGAGGGAATGGACCAATACCTTTGAGAAAATTGGTTGATGGGTAATGGATGAACATCCATGAACACCAAATATTTTGGTGTGAACAGTCGGGACCAAGGCAGTACTCTGAAATGGGGTTCCACCTATTCGCTCTTAGCCGACATTCCAAGGTGTAACATGACTTTCACTGCAAGAAGAGACTTTAGTTGGTCCCAACAGTAGCACCTTTGCCCGAAATGAAACAATTTTGATACCCTGGTTGAGGTTCCAAAACTTGGACCCCTGGTCAGCTTAGTGGCTTAGTGACAGGTTTGCCCTGCAAATGTTTGAAGATCGTGGGCCAAGGGGGTAACTGCCTACGAATCAAACACGTACCCACCTCTGCACCACAAGAAATGTTGGAATAAGATTTGCAGGGTTCACAACATCATCACTCTGATCAGTGTCACAATCTCCGTTTCCATGCCTACCAAAAAGGTTCATTCGACCAGCAGCTGGGCATGCTGAAAAATGATTTTTAAAAAAATAAAGATATATGATATATGACATGGTTTGCTGATGTCATTGGATATACATTAGAGAAAAAAAAAACGACAAACCATCTTGGTCGTCGCTGTTGGCACAGGACCTATGTTCAACCTTCCAGGTTCCAATCCTTAGATGAAATCATTGATTCGAAATAGTTGCATGAGCCACTCACTTGCCCCCCAGATTCGGCTCACTTTCCCCACCACTCATTTACTTCACACAAGAAGTGCACAGGTACGACACCTTTAGGGTTTCTTTGTTTCACACAAGAAGTGCACAGGTACGACACCTTTAGGGTTTCTTTGTTTCACACAAGAAGTGCACAGGTACGACACCTTTAGGGTTTCTTTGTTTCACACAAGAAGTGCACAGGTACGACACCTTTAGGGTTTCTTTGTTTCACACAAGAAGTGCACAGGTACGACACCTTTAGGGTTTCTTTGTTTCACACAAGAAGTGCACAGGTACGACACCTTTAAGGTTTCTTTGTTTCACACAAGAAGTGCACAGGTACGACACCTTTAGGGTTTCTTTGTTTCACACAAGAAGTGCACAGGTACGACACCTTTAGGGTTTCTTTGTTTCACACAAGAAGTGCACAGGTATGACACCTTTAGGGTTTCTTTGTTTCACACAAGAAGTGCACAGGTACGACACCTTTAGGGCTTCTTTGTTTCACACAAGAAGTGCACAGGTACGACACCTTTAGGGTTTCTTTGTTTCACACAAGAAGTGCACAGGTACGACACCTTTAGGGTTCTTTGTTTCACACAAGAAGTACACAGGACGACACCTTTAGTTCACACAGTGCACAGGTACACCTTTAGGGTTTCTTTGTTTCACACAGTAAGTACACAGGAACGACACCTTTAGGGTTTCTTTGTTTCACACAAGAAGTGCACAGGTACGAACCTTTAGGGTTTCTTTGCTTCACACAAGAAGTACACAGAAGTGCACAGGTACACACTTTAGGGTTTCTTTGTTTCACACAGAAGTACACAGGTACGACACCTTTAGGGTTTCTTTGTTTCACACAAGAAGTGCACAGGTACGACACCTTTAGGGTTTCTTTGTTTCACACAAGAAGTGCACAGGTACGACGACACCTTTAGGGTTTCTTTGTTTCACACAAGAAGTGCACAGGTACGACACCTTTAGGGTTTCTTTGTTTCACACAAGAAGTGCACAGGTACGACACCTTTAGGGCTTCTTTGTTTCACACAAGAAGTGCACAGGTACGGGGACACCTTAGGGGTTTCTTTGTTTCACACAAGAAGTGCAACAAGGACGACAACCTTTAGGGTTTCTTGTTTCACACAGAAGTGCACAGGTACGACCACCTTTAGGTTTCTTTGTTGCACACAAGAAGTGCCACAGGTACGACAACTGATAGGGTTTCTTTGTTTCACACAAGATGCACAAGTACGACACCTTAGGGTTTCTTTGTTTCACAAAGAAGTGCCACAGGTACGCACCTTTAGGTTTCTTTGTTTCACACAAGAGAAGTGACAGGTACGACAACCTTTGGGTTTCTTTGTTAACACACGAAGTGCACAAGTACGACCACCTTTAGGGTTTCTTTTTTTCACACAAAGAAGGTGCACAGGTACGACACCTTTAGGGTTTCTTTGTTTCACACCAAGAAAGTGCACAGGTACGACACCTTTAGGGTTTCTTTGTTTCACACAAGAAGTGCACAGGTACGACACCTTTAGGGTTTCTTTGTTTCACACAAGAAGTACACAGGTACGACACCTTTAGGGTTTCTTTGTTTCACACAGGAAGTGCACAGGTACGACACCTTTAGGGTTTCTTTGTTTCACACAAGAAGTGCACAGGTACGACACCTTTAGGGTTTCTTTGTTTCACACAAGAAGTACACAGGTACGACACCTTTAGGGTTTCTTTGTTTCACACAGGAAGTGCACAGGTACGACACCTTTAGGGTTTCTTTGTTTCACACAAGAAGTGCACAGGAACGACACCTTTAGGGTTTCTTTGTTTCACACAAGAAGTGCACAGGTACGACACCTTTAGGGTTTCTTTGTTTCACACAAGAAGTGCACAGGTACGACACCTTTAGTGTTTCTTTGTTTCACACAAGAAGTGCACAGGTACGACACCTTTAGGGTTTCTTTGTTTCACACAAGAAGTGCACAGGTACGACACCTTTAGGGTTTCTTTGTTTCACACAAGAAGTGCACAGGTACGACACCTTTAGGGTTTCTTTGTTTCACACAAGAAGTGCACAGGTACGACACCTTTAGGGTTTCTTTGTTTCACACAAGAAGTGCACAGGTATGACACCTTTAGGGTTTCTTTGTTTCACACAAGAAGTGCACAGGTACGACACCTTTAGGGCTTCTTTGTTTCACACAAGAAGTGCACAGGTACGACACCTTTAGGGTTTCTTTGTTTCACACAAGAAGTGCACAGGTACGACACCTTTAGGGTTTCTTTGTTTCACACAAGATGTGCACAGGTACGACACCTTTAGGGTTTCTTTGTTTCACACAAGAAGTGCACAGGTACGACACCTTTAGGGTTTCTTTGTTTCACACAAGAAGTGCACAGGTACGACACCTTTAGGGTTTCTTTGTTTCACACAAGAAGTGCACAGGTACGACACCTTTAGGGTTTCTTTGTTTCACACAAGAAGTGCACAGGTACGACACCTTTATGGTTTCTTTGTTTCACACAAGAAGTACACAGGTACGACACCTTTAGGGTTTCTTTGTTTCACACAAGAAGTACACAGGTACGACACCTTTAGGGTTTCTTTAGGGCTTCTTTGCTTCACAGAAGAAGTACACAGGTACGAAACCTTTAGGGTTTCTTTGCTTCACACAAGAGGTACACAGGTACGACACCTTTAGGGTTTCTTTGCTTCACACAAGAAGTACACAGGTACGACACCTTTAGGGTTTCTTTGCTTCACAAAAGAAGTACACAGGTACGAAACCTTTAGGGATTCTTTGTTTCACACAAGAAGTACACAGGTACGACACCTTTAGGGATTCTTTGTTTCACACAAGAAGTACACAGGTACGACACCTTTAGGGTTTCTTTGCTTCACACAAGAAGTACACAGTTACGACACCTTTAGGGATTCTTTGCTTCACACAAGAAGTACACAGGTACGACACCTTTAGGGTTTCTTTGTTTCACACAGTAAGTACACAGGAACGACACCTTTAGGGTTTCTTTGTTTCACACAAGAAGTACACAGGTATGACACCTTTAGGTTTTCTTTGTTCCACACAAGAGGTACACAGGTACGACACCTTTAGGGTTTCTTTGCTTCACACAAGAAGTACACAGGTACGAAACCTTTAGGGATTCTTCTTTTCAGACAAGAAGTACACAAGTACGACACCTTTAGGGTTTCTTTGTTTCACACAAGAAGTACACAGGTACGACACCTTTAGGGTTTCTTTACTTCACACAAGAAGTACACAGGTACGAAACCTTTAGGGTTTCTTTGCTTCACAAAAGAAGTACACAGGTACGCAAACCTTTAGGGTTTCTTTGCTTCACACAAGAAGTACACAGTTACGACACCTTTAGGGATTCTTTGTTTCACACAAGAAGTACACAGGTACGACACCTTTAGGGTTTCTTTGTTTCACACAAGAAGTACACAGGTACGACACCTTTAGGTTTCTTTGTTTCCACATCAAGAAGGGCCACAGGACGACCACCTTTAGGGTTTCTTGGTTTCCACAACAAGAAGTGCAAAGGAACGACACTGTGGGTTTTTTTGTTGCACACAAAGAGTGCACAGGTACGACACCTTTAGGGTTTCTGTGTTTCACACAAGAAGTACACAGGTACGACACCTTTAGGGTTTCTTTGCTTCACACAAGAAGTACACAGTTACGACACCTTTAGGGATTCTTTGTTTCACACAAGAAGTACACAGGTACGAAACCTTTAGGGTTTTTTTGTTCCACACAAGAAGTACACAGGTACGACACCTTTAGGGTTTCTTTGCTTCACACAAGAAGTACACAGGTACGACACCTTTCGGGTTTCTTTGTTTCACACAAGAAGTACACAGGTACGACACCTTTAGGGTTTCTTTGTTTCACACAAGAAGTACACAGGTACGACACCTTTAGGGTTTCTTTGTTTCACACAAGAAGTACACAGGTACGAAACCTTTAGGGTATCTTTGGTTCACACAGTAAGTACACAGGAACGACACCTTTAGGGTTTCTTTGTTTCACACACTAAGTACACAGGAACGACACCTTTAGGGTTTCTTTGTTCCACACAAGAAGTGCACAGGTACGACACCTTTAGGGTTTCTTTGTTTCACACA